GGGTGGAGAAAGGTGCACCGTTCTTGCCTTCAAGTTGCCCTGCACGGGGCCCCCTGGCGCCCAAAAGGGGCACGAGAGGTGCGCGGTTCCCTCCCCCCCCTGGACCGCCCCCCTCTATCCAGTAGCGCCCAAGGAAGTTCGTCTCCACAGTGCGCTCGCGTGTGCCAGCGCCTGGGGACCGATGAGAGAGCGCCGATTCGGCGACGACTGGCGTCGAGCTCGCGCCGATCTGCCTCTGCCGGTGCCGCTTCTCGCAAGAGTCAGCAAGATGGCACGGGAGGCCACCGTGAGCGGTCACAGGGCGCGGCCATGCAGGCAGAGGCCTGGCGCCCGAGGGCCTGTCCTGCAGTCAGGCAGTGGCGAAGCGTCCCGGCTCGCTTAGAGTCCCACCAAGCAATGTTCTAAGAACTTTGTATAGTTTCCACGAGATGTTCTTAGAACATTTCTGGCTGGGGCTGTCTTGTGTCGACTCATCGGGTTGATGTTCTAAGAACATTGTTTTCGTTCTTAGAACATTCTTGGGTTCTAAGAACATTTCGTGGTAGGACTATCGGAATTCCGGGGCGGTCGGTCCCTGCACAATGCAGGTGTTCCCGCCTCGGCCGCCAGTACGAGCCTCGCCGCGCCCGTGCCGCCGGCAACATCCGCCTGCGCCGCCGAAGCGCCGCCGCAGCGCTGCTGGCGACGACGACTAGGACGACAACGAGGACGATGACGACGACGACGTCGAGGACGACGACCTGTGAAGCTCCTGCTATTCGCAGGCCGCAGCGTTTGCCGACCGCCCGCCCTTTCCGTGTGGGCTGCAACCGCCGCGCGCAGGGCGTAGGCGCAGCGTTTGGTTCCTCCTTCCTCCTCCCCCATTCCTCCCCCTTTCCTCCTCCTCCTCCTCCGCCCTCGTGCCATTCTGCCCACGTGTCCCTCCTCGGGTGCGCCTTAGCGTCTTCGCCGTCTGCCACGCGCGGGTACGGGTAGCACGCAGCCCTGGCCTTATGCGCATCTTTTCCTCCTCCTCCCGCCGCTGCTCCATGCCCGTCCTCCTCCTGCCGCTGCATCTATCGCTCCTCCTGCCAAGTGCCTGCCCTCCACCCCCTACCCCTTGCCCTCCAAAAGGAGGAGGAGTAGGAGGCGGACTTGTCCTCTCCATCTCCGAGTTGTGCCCTGCCCCACTGTCTCGTCATCCCTTCGACTTCCCCGTCCTGCCTCGCACCTGCATCGTGTCCGACCCTCCCACTGCACCCCAGGGGACCCTGAAGTCGGCCCCAGAGTCCCCAGGAACCCCTCAAAGTGGTCCGAGATGACAGCTGGCCGTAGCACGCAACCCGCACCGGCTGCTATGCGCAGCACGCACACCAGCAAGCAGCGGGTGGAAGAGGCAAATGGCTGCACGGGCACGCACATACACACGTACACACTCTTGGGGAAGTCTGTCGGACTGTGGAGTGGCACCAGTCTGCACTGCTTTTGTAGCATGCCACCACGCGAAAGTGTTTCAGTACAGTTTCAGTAGCTAGGGTTATGTCGCTATGATAGCTGAGACGCTGGCAGCTTTGCACTGCTGTTCCAGAGACCGCATGACACCAGAGAGACTCTATCCAGAACAGCTTGCAACACAAACACATGATTTCACGTCTCAGCAGCGGCACCCATCTCTGTCCTTTTAGGCTGAGGGCACCCAGCCCAGGGACGCTGGAACGTTTCGCCCCCCGCCCTCAGGAGCCTGAGAGCAGCCGGTCTCGACTCGGCCAGCGCACCTCGTCGCCGAACTCTTGTTTCCTTCGCGGCCCTTTGCTGCTGTTGTATGAGGAGTACTTCTGACCTTGAGCAGTGGGTGCTTAAGTCAAGGACACCGATGACGTCGGTGTCCTCTTCGTCGTCGTCGTCGTCGTCCGCGCCCGTTCCTTTAGAGCGTTCGATTGTGTTATGACATGTCCTGCGGCAGGGCTGCCTGCCGGCTCCCTGGATCGAGTTGGACAACGGTCAGGCGTTTGCGTTGTCTCCCCCTCGCCTCTGGTCCCGCATTCTCCAAGGTAGCGCTGTGGAAAAAAGTTCTCTGGCTCCGTCCGCTGTCCTCCCTTACATACACCGCGGGTCCAGGTGGACGATTGTTGTTGCTGATTGCTCGCTGCTGACCACTGCTGGTTGTTGACTGCTGCTGTTGGCTGCCCACTGCTGGCCCACTCACTGCGCCACTTTCTTGCACTCTCTCTCTCTCTCTCTCTTGCACCCTCTCGCGCATTGGCTGGCAAGGAGCGATCTTACCCCTCGTGTTCGGCAACAGCCCGGCAGTGGCGTTGAACGCGGATGGCCGTATCGAGCTCTTCGTTGGACACCTCAGGGCAAACAGATACAATGGGATGGTCAGATGTTCCCATCGTCTCCCCCCTTCTGTCGACGGGGAGCTGGGGAATGAGGAGGAGGAGGAGCGGGTTGAGCAGTTGCAGCGGAAAATGGAAGGCGAGGTAGGCGCCGACCCCCATTCCCGATGTAATGATGTTTCAATACGTGGGCGTCGAACCCTTAGACTCCAAGCTGGGGGCCAGTTCTGCGTCCCGAGAGTTCCTTTGAATGCAAGCGGCGTTGAAGCAAGGCCGTCTGTATGTGTTCCCAATGGAGGTCTGGGTCGGGGCCCCGAATTCAGACCATTGTTGTTTCTGTTGGCTTGAGGATACCAGGCCGACTCCCTCGACCTGTGGCAGATGTACCAGACAGACGCGAAGGACCCTGGCCAAGTTGCCGCCGCCGCAAGGGCCAGGGGTGTCCCAGGAGCATTCACGCATCCCTCCAAAGGTTGAAGGTAGTCCACGTGGCAATGGGTTACTTGATGCTGATTGTTCTGTTGGCTCCTTGGGGTATGCCCGATCAAGGGGAGGTCTGCTGGCGTGGACACCAAACAACTTGCCCTTACACTCTCGTTGTGCGTTCTATGTAGTGCAATGTCCGTCAGCTCCAATGCTCAGCAAATATCCCACCCAACCACTCGCAACGAGTTAGCATACTTCCACTGGCGTAGTGACCACGTGAAGTCTCTCAGTCAGATCCCAGAGTCGGGCGGGGAAGTTATGATGATGCCGGTGACGACACAGATGATGTTGATAATGATGGGGATGATGATGATGCTGCTGATGATGATGATGATGATGATGATGGTGATGGTGATGGTCATGTCGGCGTTGATGACGAGGGTGGCGACATTGACGATTACGATCATCATGTTGCTGACGGCGGTGGGGATGATGGCGGCGACGATTGTAATGTTGATGAAGATGGAAGGGATATCGGTGGTCATGAGCACGCTGGGCATGATAGCGGTTGTGCTGATCGGGTTGATATGGGGGGTGCGCGTGCAGAAGGTCCGAACTTCAGACTCGATGTGTTGTTGGCCACCAGTGGATCACATGGCGAATTCCAGAAACCCTGAACTCAAAAGCGTGTTCATCTTTTTGTAGCGCATCTTCTATTTTCGCTGCCTTCCGCCAGCCTTCTGCCAGATTCCGCCGGCGGAGGCAGCCTCGCTTTTTACTTTTGCCGACCTTCCGCCGCCCTTCCGCCGCCTTCGCCGAGGACGAGATGGCAAATCCTTCGATCCTCGAAGGCAAGGCCTTTCCTGGATCGCCTCATATGCCTTGAAAACATACGTGTTGAAGCGTTTAGGAAACGATGGTGTGGGAAGGCTTTCGAAGTGCGCGCGTGCGGAGGCGCGCGCGATTTGCCCGCGTGGGTACAAGCAGACTGAGGTGTCGGGTGCGCAGTATTTGTTTCGTGTTTTCCAGATTTGCCCGCGTGCGCGCGTGCGTGACCCGCGTACGGTAGGTTCGCGTCGTGTCGACGGGCGACGACCCCGCCGCGGGCGTTCAGTGTTGAACGCCGGCGGCGGCCCAGAATCGGTCGATGCTGAACGAGCTGACGTTTCGGAAACGCCCGATCGTTCAAGATTGAACGTTCCCCGAGCGGATCAGGAACCAACGCCCGGGTCGAAAAGACACGAACTTGCCGTATTCCCATTCAGCAGGACCGCGCAGAAAGTTTAGGTCTTGCTGTGGGAAGGCGGCGTTTTGCCAAGTCGTCGAAGATTCATGCGCATCTTCGCAGCAATAAGAAGACGTAATTAGATTAGGGTGAGTTTGGCACGCGCGCGCGGTGGCGCGCATGTGGCCCGCCGGATCGCATTTTATATTGATAGTGACGAAACGCACGCGTGAGCACTGGGTTGTAGTATCCGGCAGAGATGACATGGGGAAGACAACGCGCCACTTGTCATGGCATCATTTTTTCTTATGGAGCGACCGTGCATTCTGATGATGGACAAAACCACGCGAAAGAACGCTTTCTGCCGCTACTTGCGAGCCCCCCAGGTTCGAACAGCCTCCCTCCCAGTCCGAACTGGGGGGGATTCCATTACAGCTGCATCCAGCCTCAATTGGATTGTATTGAAGCTGGACATGGCCTTCGTAGGATTTCGTTACAGCTGGACCGGGTCCTGATAGGATTGGAGTAGCTGGATCGAGCTCCAATAGGTTTTCATCCGAGCTGCATCTAGACCTTGGTACGATCAAATAGAGCCAGATCCAGCCCGCACAAGTATCCTATTCTAGTTGGATCGAGCCAAGGCAGGATTCTGTTGGAACTGGGCGCAGCCCTTGTTGCAGGATTCGGTTAGACCTGGGCCAGGCATGTGTAAGAATCAATTTGGCATGGATCCAGTCAGTTCCTCGTAGGATTTTGTTAAAACTGGATCTAGCCATTGTCGGATGTTGTGTAAAGCTGGTACTAGCCGTAACAAAATCTAGTAGAGCTCGATCCAGCCCTAGTGGCAGGATCCGGCCCCACCCCACCCTGGTTTGTTCGAGCCGGAGGGGGGGGAGGGGGGGGCAGCCAATTCCGGGCGAAGTGGGGGTCCCCCCCCCCTTGTTGCCAGGGAAGGGGGGGCGACTTTTTATTCCCAATCCCTCCTTTTCCGGGGTGGGTGGGATTTTTCCAGTCCGGCGACGGTAGACTGGCTCCCTTTCAACACGCAGAGGTGAGGAGATATTTCCATCCTCGGCAAGGAGGGGGGTGATCCCAACTTCCCAGTCAAAGGCAGGCCATGTATGCAGGAACTGCTGTGCAAGGTGTGTGGCGCAAGCTACAGTCGGGTCCCTGAAGAAGGAACCCTTTTGGTTGGGGAGGGGCTCCGCGTCCCTTAGGTGTCTCACAGCTTGCCCCAGGTTTTCCTCCGGTTTTCGATCGGAAATCGAAGCTAAACTCATGGGAAAAGGGGGCCTCGTTCCTTATTTAGGGTTCCTTCAGTGACTGTATGTGACTCTAGCGCCCCGACTGTATGTGACTCTAGCCAGACAGTTTGCAATCCCCCAGCGCTCTTCAGAGGCCGCGCCGGCACACGGGCGGTGCAGTGCGGGTCCGCGCCTCGGGCGGACACGTCGGCGGCGGCGGCAGGGATTATCATGGTAGCGCTGGTGGTGGCGACGACGACGATGACTGCGCCAAGGCCTAAATCAGGAGCAGAAAAGGGACGCACATGTACATGAATCCACGCTGGTTTCGAGAGTTCACATTGCGCAAATGTTCGTATTACGCGGCCGGTCTCGCGGATCGAGGGGCCGCGTTCATGTACATAGCTGGGCGCGTGCGTCTTTTGTGGGCTCCCCACTAAACGGCGCTGGAGCTGGCGACGACGGTGACGATGATGTGGTACACATGTCGGTGCTAAAAGGTGATTGGCCGATGATTGCGGCACCGCTGGCGGTTGGCGCAGGCGATAATGGCGGTGAGGCGATGGCGCTGTTGCGGGTGATGGTGAGGAAGTGCGCGCTCGCAGAAATTCAGGGAACCAGGCAACATCTGTGTTGAAACGCAATTTTCCGCATGTTTTTAAAGATTTGTTGTTATGACAGTTTAGGCCAGCTCTGTTGTTCGAAAAGGTTTCTTCACGCACGCGTGGCGGCGCGCGCTTGTGGCCCGCGCGGTAGTGTGTGGAACTTGTGCTGAGACGATGATGAGGGTTTTGGGCGAGACTGCGAGACTGCTGGCGTCAGATGGTTGCAGCACGTTCTCGCGGGCAGATGATCTGAAAACTTATGAGCGGTTACAGCTTTCGGTTTTTCTTGGTCGACAAGTTTGCAGCCGTCATGTGTTTGGTGTGACTTTGGCATCTGCGCGCGCCTGTGGACTTCGTGCTGGCTGTTTTGGGGGCGCGGGATTAGGCAAGGTATTCTGGTGGGATACACGGGTGTATGCGCTCATGGTGTAATTCGACAGTCGTGGTGGGAACGGAAAGGTGGGCCTACGCAGCGATTCGGGCTACCGAAAGCTCACCCGAGAGAGGGAAGATGTGACGAACGACAGCGACCTTCGCGGATGCAACCTGCTGCGCCGTGGAACCAGAAGTTGCGAGGACGAGGTCATTCATTGCATCGATAGACTATGTAAGTTCCATGGCCTCTCAGGTTGGTCCAGTTTCGCTGTTGAGGTACTTTCTGCTGCCAGCAGCGTGGATTAGTGCGATCCCACATCTGTGGCACGACATGAGCTCACGAAGAGACCACCTTCTGGGCTCAATCCTCTTCGCGAACGAGGTGGATGCCGAATCCGTTGATAATTCTTTTTCCAGCAAGGACTTGGAAACACCTACAGGAACACAAAGGCTGGGCCATACCAGTTGGCTGAGAGAGTTTCTGGGGCTCGGCATCATGAGTCGTGCGCAGTGATGCGACGCCTCGGATATGACGGCGGATGGACGCAACAAGGTCTCTATTGAGCGAGTCATTCTCCGACAGTTCATGGGTGAATCTAAGAGTTGCACGCGCGACGTGAAGTCATATGCACAGATTCGCGCTAACACTCCCGTCCCCAACGCGCGAATCCGCTGCAATTCAAACGCCTCGATGGACCCATGAGGTCTGAGGGATTGTTCAGCTGCGGCCGCCAGATACACAGGTGGGGAGCCCTCTTTTTTGGCCCCAGTCAGAGCTTCCGTGGAACCAAGACTGCTTGGAATGAGCGCGTGACCGCGCTCCTCTTGCCTATCTCTTGTCGTGGAATCGCGACTGCCTGGAAGTGCGCGCGCGGCCGCCTTCTTACAGCCAGCCCCTGTTTGGGATCTCATCCACCGTTTGACTTTAGCGGCGCGGACACCCGACACTACCATCTATCTGCCTGGTGCAGGATCAGCCCCGTCGGCGTCTTTCGAAGGTTTCTCGGCCGCCTGCCGGCTTGCCCAGCACAAGCCTTATGTTTGTCAGCTGTCCTGTGCCCTGCTACACGGTGGTGCTGAGTTGGCAACTCGCCCCTTTGCAACTGAGGTAACCGAGTCGCCCCTTTGCTGCCTTGGGACAGTGGCGGTCAGGTTTCGTTTCTCCTCCATCGGCTTTGAAGGATATGTCCCAAGGGGGACATATGCTTGCCTGTTCCGCTGCTGACCGGCTCAAGGCAGCGCCGCCCTATCTGCCCGTGTTGGCGGGCTGCCACAAATCCATGTGCAGTTCTGGGGGTGACAAAACGCTTATCTTTCTCCACACACTTCTCATCCTTCTCTTTTGCCGACATGGCGTGGCACTCCCGCTTTCGACTATGTTCGGCTCTCTTGGGCCATTTTGACAGCCACCTTGGGTTATCTCGTATCTCGCGTGGACCCTTGTCGACGCCCAGGGAAAGGGGTGTGGGGGGTCTTCGAAGTAGAAGAATGATGTTGGAATTGCAAATTTATTCAAACACCAACGCTCTGAGGGTTGATGGGGCTTGTGATAGCAGCAGTGGCATCATCAGCAACAGCAGCAGTGGTGTTGTGAGAGTAAATCGCAATAGCATCACGGATGCGCGAGTGTCAGCCAGCCCCTGGAGCGGGCATGCGGCGGGCACGGGCGGGCACAAGCGAACAGGGGGAGGAGATGGCCAACGCGCAGAACGGGCACGAGGTGGGCACAGGCGGTCACTTGGCAAAAACCAGGCACGAACAGGCACGAGGCGGTCACGGACGGGCACCAGGCGAAAATCTGGAATAGCAGGTGCATCATATAGAATGACGTAGGAACCGATTCGTGCCATGCACGGGGCAGCAACAATCATAAGCATCAGCCTTCGGAGGTCCGACACGATTCCCCCCGCAACCATTCCCCTGGTGCGCAGAGCGCGCCCGAGGCGCCGCCATATGCGCGGCCAAAGGCGCGGGTGTGGGCGGTGGGGAGAGGATCCGGCGCCGACCCAGGCGCTCCGCGCTGACATCCGAAAGTGTGTGTGTGAGAGATATGTGTGTATGTGTGTTTGCCTGGCATATATATATACATATGTGTGTATGTGTGTGTGCGTGTACATGTATATATATATATATGTATATATATATACATATATATATATATACATACATAGAACTCGCGTTCTACGGCCGGGGGCGGGGCAGGCCCATTCCCCAATAGGGGTTCCGGGGCTCCTGGCGGCAGGGCCTGGGAGGGGGCAGGCCCATTCCCCCACGTGGATGCCGGGGCTCCTGGCGGCCCCACGACGCGTCCCTGTATGTATATACGTGTACATATATATTTATGCATATGTATATTTACACATATGTATATATATGTGTTTATATACACATATATATATATATTATATATATGTATGTATGTATGTATGCATGTATACATATATATGTATATATATACATATATATATGTATATATATATATATACATATATATATATATATATATATATATATCGGAGTAGGCCCCGGGGGGGGGGGGGGGGGGGGGCTGGCCGCTGCTTGTACCCTCCATGGGCGCCCCCGAGCTCCCGAGACGCGGCTCAGGTCCGAAACAGGCCACGACAGGCTAAGGGGCCCCAAGAGGGCCCAGGCTCCTCCTCCTCCTCCTCCTCCCCCTCCTCCTCTCCTCCTCCTCCTCCTCCTCCTCCTCCTCCCCCTCCGAGCCTCCTCCTCCTCCTCCTCCTCCTCCTCATCCTCCTCATCCTCCCTCCTCCCTCCTCCCTCCTCCCTCCTGTCCGAAGAGGCCCCGAAGACGCCCAAGATGCCCCCAAGACGGCCGACGAGGACTCCAACACGCTCCAGGACGGACTCAAGAGGCTCCCCAGGAGGGCGCTCGGAGGCAACACCCATCCATGTTCCAAGGGTTCTTGAAGGATGTGGGGCGTTCTCGCTTTTTGCCGCTTCCTAGCGCTCCCTCACGGCCTCGGAGGCTCTTCAGATCGCTCCAAAACGGTCCGCGAGGCCCCGAAGAGGGCTCCAAGACCGCCCAGGAGGCTCCCCAGATAACCCAAGTGTGCCCCAAGAACGCCCCAAGAGCGGGCTCAGAGGGGGACCGCAATCTGATATTTCGAGGTCTCTAGCCCCAGAGGCCGCCAGTAGGCTCCCCGATGCCACGAAGAGGCTCCCGCGAAGCCCCGTGAGGCGCCCAAGAGGCCGCCCCCGAGGGGCTTCCAGGGAACGCCCAAGAGACACCCCTGACGCACCCCAGCAAATCGTGTCCCCAGAAAGCCTTCCTGGGACATGGTTCATCGTGGGCCCAAGAGTCTCCGGAGGTTCTGAAGTACCATTACGCTACCGGAGAGCTGTCTGGGAAGTTGACTGGGAACATGACTGATCGCCTTCTCGCGGCCCTCTGCGGATCGTTTCGCACAAAGTTGCCCCAAGTGCCCTCTTGAACCGACGACGACGACAACGAAGACGACGAAACAACGAAGACGAGGACGACGACGACGACGACGACGACGGCGCGTCCCAAGAGGCGACGACGACATTACGACGACGACGGCACGCCCCAAGGCTCCCCAAGACGCCCCCAAACCCATGTTCCCAGAAGGCCTTCTGGGAACCCGATGTATCAGGCCTCCGCCCCTCTACGCAACCATCTTCCCCGAAAGCCTTCCGGAATGCGGATTGACATGCATGCACTTCTCATTGAATGCGTTCAGCGCTATATGGGCACTTCTTCACGTCCCGTTCAGGCCATCTCTGGTCCGCTACCTCAGTGGAGCAGTGGACTTGTCAAGGCCTGGGGCCTGCCAGAACCCGAGCGCGCGCCCAGCGCGCGCGATGGTTTTTAGCTAGTATCGGTATTGGTCCTGTTCTGACTCCCCGCGCGGTCCGCACGCTCAGGCGCCTGGGGCTGCAGGTCCAGCGCCAAGCCATTCTGGGGCGGGGAGACCAGCACCAGCGAGCCATCTCCTTGCGTGGCGTCCCCCTCTCGGCTGGAAGGGAACTTGGCAGGCGAGGGTGACGCCACGGAAGGGGATATGGTTTGCCACGGGTCGGCGAGGCCGCGCCGGAGTGCTGCCAGTGTGTTTTTGTTTGACCTCTGCAGGGTCTGCTTGATTGCTCCTGGCGGGGAGGAGGGGGGCTGGCCTTTGCGGCGGCCCACCAGCCACGGCCGGGCCGGACGAGGGGGCAGGGGAGGGAAAGGGTCGGGGCTCAGGGGCCCGTTGTCAGTTCAAGCGGGGGTCGGCCAGAGCGCCGGACTTTGCAGGAGCCTCCAGGGCCAGGGCTGCAGTGACCAGGGTTGGGACGCAGGCTCCTGCAGGCTCTTGCCTTACCCTGCCAAGCCTGACGGACCAGGGTTCGGATGGACACGGGTCGGAGGGACAGGGGAGCTTGCGAACTCTGCGGCGTGCAGCTGGGTTTGGCCCCGATGCCAGGGCCCTTCCTCGATGCACGGGCGCCTCCCGACGCCAGGAGGCGCCAGGAAGCCAGCTGCGTGAGCCGATTCTCTGCCCCGCCCTTAGCTGCCCTACCCTTTCGTTTCTCCCTCCTCCTCCTCCTCCTCCTCCTCCTCCTCCTCCTCCTCCTCCTCCTCCTCCTCCCCCGTCCTCCGTCCTCCTCCTCCTTCATCCTGTTGGCTCCTGTTGGCTCCGATGCCGTCTGTTACCGCTGGCAGAGCCTGCAGCAAAGCGGCGAAAAAGCAAGGCTGGCAGTTCAGTACTCGTCGATCCCGAGGAAGGCCTCGAGCTGCACGAGGCGGGGGCGGAGGTTGCGCGGGAGCCGCGAGCCCCTGGCCTCCATCACCGGGTACTCCTCCCACGCTGCCTCCCGCGTCAGCACGCGGCCCTTCACGTCGAGAATCGCCGAGTTGACCACATCGTCATCCGAGTCCGACTCTGGCGCCAGAACCAGCGCAAGATCGGCCGCAGAGATGTGACCGAAAGGAGTGTCCATCCCACCGTCCACGTCACCTGTAAAGATGCAGCAGCCAAAAACAGTACGAAGCTCAAGGGTCGACGATCCCAAGGAAGGCCTCCAGCTCCTCGAAGCGGGGGCGGAGGCGGCGCGGGAGGTTCGAGCCCCTGGAGACCAACACCAGGTACTCCTCCCACGCCGCCTCCCTCGTGAGCTCGCGGCCCTTCTGGTCGAGCATCGCCGAGTGGGCCACACCTGCTTCCGAGTCCGAGTCTGGCGCCATGATCAGCGCGAGGTCGCCCGCAGGGATGTGACCAAACACTGTGTCCATCCCACCGTCGATGTCACCTACCATGGAGGAATGGGGCTCCATGGCAGGCTGCTGCTGCACAGGGTCGCCATGAGCAGCGTCCGTCGCCGAGTCGATCTGGATGGCCTTGTCGACCTCGGCCAGCACCTTGTCCTCCCCCGCGGAGTCCACGGAGACCTTCTCCGAGTCCGCCTCCTCAGACGGGTCGGCTGTCTCCGAGGTGTCCTCCGCCTTGTCGTACCGCTCGGCCTGCTTGCGCCCGCGCCTGCGGCCACGCTGCCGGTTCCGCTTCTCCTTGACCGGCAGGCCCAGGACACCGGCGCCCTCGCCGAGCTCGGCGTGGGCCGCAAGGTTGCGGTTCAGGCGGACCGCGCCTGGGACGGGAAGTCCCGCGACCTGCAGCTTGAGCGCCCGCTCGATCGCAAGGAGGCGCGTCGCCACCTCCTGCCTGCCCGCCTCGCCGAGCGGCACCTGCTGCGCTTCCTGCTGCAAGCCCAGCAGCGAGGCGCCCGTGCGGAGGGCAGCAGCGACAGCCGCCGCCACGCTCTGCCGCCCGCCTCCGCCCTCCGCCGCCCCCGCCGCCGCCGCCCGAGCCAGTGGGGCGAGAGCCGCCACCAGATCCCCGCTCGGGGGCGAGACCGTAGCCACCGCCTTGTCCAGGCCACCCTTCGCCGTCATCGCGGGGGGCCGCGGAAGGGGAAGGAGACTGAGCCGCTCTCGAGCGCAGCAGCAGACGAGAGAAGCAAAACGAGCACCTGCCCGCCTGGCGCCCAAGGCAGGCTTGAGCCAAAATGGCTACGGACTTCCTCCGTCCTTCTCCTCCTCCTCCTCCCCCTCCTCCTCCTCCGTCCTCCTCCTCCTCCTCCTCCTCCTCCTCCTCCTCCTCCTTCTCCTCCTCCTCTCCTCCTCCTCCTCCTTCCTCCTCCTCCGTCCTCCTCCTCCTCTTCCTCCTCCTCCTCCGCCTCCTCCTCCTCCTCCTCCTCCTCCTCTTCCTCCTCCTCCCCCTTCTCCTCCTCCTCCCCCTCCTCCTTCTCCTCCTCCTCCCCCTCCTCCCCCTCCTCCTCCCCCGTCCTCCGTCCTCCTCTTCCTCCTCCTCCGCCTCAGGACCCGCTTGCGTGGAGCAGGCCCCGCGCGCCCTACTGCGACCCCTCCCTGCCGGACTGCCAGGCTCGGCGGCGCGCCCACGGGCCGAAGACCCGGGGACTTCGGTTCGGAGGCCCCCAGACGGTGTGGCGATCACTCCGTGCGGGTGGGCGGGGAGGGTGGCCCCCACCCCCCGATCACATCACGGCGGGTTTGGCCTCCCGGGGCTTTGTTCGAGCCCCTGGGCCCTCGGGAGGAGGAAGATAAGGAAAAGGGAGAGGGAGCAGAGGAAACGGACCCCCGAGGAGGAGGATCAGGAGGATCCCCGAGGCCTCCCCCTCCCCATCCTTCACGTGTCCCCCCAATCGGAGGCTTCGAGTGTCATCGGAGTCGTCGTCATCGTCGTCGGATTCGTCGTCATCGTCGGAATGTTCGTCGTCGTTGTCGTCCTTGGCATCGTCGTCGTCCAATCGGAGTCGTGGGAGTTGTCGTCGGAGTCGTCGCCGTCGTCGTCAGCGTCGGAGTCGCCGTCACAATCGTCGTCGTTGCCGATCGGCGCGGGCCCTTGCACCTCCCTTCCCCCCGCCTATGAGTAGAGCTTGGTCGTTTTGGGCGCCTGTTGCGAGCAGGTGGAGTCTCCCCCGTCGGACGCACTGTTGCAAACAGTCGCAGTAAGCAGACTTTCTGAGCCAGACCCCCCCCCTCCCCCTTCCGCTCGATGTCGAAACGCAGAATAAGAAAACGTTCACCAGGGTGCCCTGGGTTTCTTGGGTTTCTGTTCCTTTGCGATGGAAAGCGTGACGTCCTCACGCCAAAGATCAATGGATGTCCTGGGGTCTCAGGCTTAGGTTTTTTGTGGAAGGTTTGATGTGGTCGGGCTCCAACTGTAGCGAAGCATGGGAGGCGGGTATACCCTCTTGATTCGGTCTCTAGCGTCGATTGGCGTCGTGGAGTCGATGAGATAGCGCCGATTTGGCGTCGGCTGGCGTCGATTAGCGTCGACCAGCGTCGTTTTAGCGTCGACCAGCGTCGATTCGCAAGAGCCGGCAAGATCGTGTGGGAGGCTCCCACGACTCGCGTCTGGGAGTCGAGGAGGCAACGCCGATTCAGCGTCGATTGAGCGTCGATCCGGCGGTGTTTCGGCGTCGACCCGCAAGAGCCGACACGCCACGCCGGCATGGGAGGCTCTGCCACGAGCTGCCACGGAACGGGGCGAGGCGAGGTGCCCAGACCCCCACGCGCCGTGGGCAAAAGTCGCGACGGAAGGTCCCTGACTGTGCTTTCGCCCCCCCCCCCAGGAGGAGGAGGAGGAGGAGGAGGAGGAGGAGGAGGAGGCGGAGGAGGAGGAGGAGGAGGAGGAGGAGGAGGAGGAGGAGGAGGAGGAGGAGGAGGAGGAGGGAGGAGGAGGAGGAGGAGGAGGAGGGAGGAGGAGGAGGAGGGAGGAGGAGGAGGAGGAGGGGGAGGGTCGCCGCAGAGGAGGAGAAGGTGACTACCAAAAGCCGTTTCCCCTTCGCCCGTCTTCCCCTTGTTCGGCCTCCTGGGGGGCCCTCTGGATTCGCCTCGAAGTCCTGGCCATGGCCAGAATGCACCCCGGGAGAGGTCCAGGGAGTATAAGGGCTTGACGACTTCTGCCGTCCATCGACTCGCGCTGTAGCAGCCACGATTTGCTCCAAACGTCCTTGGAGATCTTTGGCTTTACCTCGATTGACCTGGATGTATCTGGATCTACCTGTCTTGATTTGCATTTTTCCTGATTTATCTGGCTCCACCCCCATAAGTCGATTGGCGAAAAGTCGTCGAGCCTTCAGGGAGCGCAGTGGTATCGGTGCCTTCTGGTCTACCCCCCCGTGGGGGGCCCCCCCTGGGCCCCCGGGACCGTCGAGCCGCTGCTCGCGAGGAGGCGCCAGTGACTGGGCACCTGCTGGGACCCTGCGCCCGACCCCCACTTTCACTCTCCAACAGTCTCAGGGAAAGAGGCCCAGGGAGTCGAAGAGAGGATCTCGACTGCCGAGCTGTCTTACCCCAGAATTGGGTTCTCCGCCGGTTTTTGAAAGACAGACATGCAGAATGCTCCGTAGGTCTGCGGCCCTTCTGGCGCATGCTTCGTGGAGTCGCATTTTCCACAGACGCAAAGAATCGTCGATCCCGAGGAACATTTGAGGGAATGGATGATGTGGGGAGGAATACGAAACTCCAGAACACGTTGAAAAGTAATGGGGGTCCCGGGATTTGTGTCTATTTCTTTGTGTGTCCCTGGGCCCCTTCAAGTTTGGGGCACAGCAATGCTGTAGTCTGTCCCCCCTGCTCGAGGGAGGCGTCCCAGACCTCGGGGGGTCCACGCTGTGGGCAACTGCCGCGTCGGGGGTCTTGGAAGCCCAGAGGTCCGACGCTCCCAGAAAAACTGGAGCGGGCCGTTTTGGGTTGTGTTCGGCCTCAGGGGACCCTCGCCGGGTCTCGGGATTAACTATCATAAAGAAGGATGCAGGACGGAAGACCGGCCCCAGGGATGTGATCCAGGCCTCCACGGCCCGCGCCACGAACAAGTTGGAGCAGAAACAATTGGAGCAGCGCATGTCTGGGTAGAGGGGTCTGCAGGCGGTTGGCAGTTTTTGGGGCCTCTGTGGGTTGCCCTCGTGGCCACGGCCGGGGTGGGCACCAGGAGGGCTCCCGGCTCGGTCTGCGCAGGGAGGCTGCCCAGGGAAGCGCCACGCCTCTCTAGAACCCCGCAGCCTTCTGAGAAGCAGCGCTCCGAGAAGGGGTCCCTGGAGGAGGAGGAGGAGGAGGAGGAGGAGGAGGAGGAGGAGGAGGAGGAGGAGGAGGAGGAGCCCTTCTAAGACGCCCCCATGCCGTCTCAGGAGGTGGCCCGCCTCGCCCCGCCCCCGGCCGTGCGCCGCCCGAGGCGTGCCTGGCGGCGGCGGAGTGCAAGGCAAACTTCTGGAGCGACGGGTACACGTGGACCACGAGCCAGCAGGCGCTCTGGCTGAACCCGGACGACCAGAAGCTAAGGCTCGGGGGCGGAAAAGAGGGGGGTGATGACCAGGGGGGGGGGGAGATCATGGCGCGCGCCATGATATTTCCCCAGATTTCATGGCGCCTCTTCTTATTTCATTACGTCCCTGGCCCCCCCGCTGGGCCGCTTACATGCCGCCGGTCATGATTTGCACCCCCCCTCTTGGACACCCCCCTCTTTGCCGCCCCCGATAAGGCTGACGTGGCGCAACTTCGACGGCCATATGTATGAGAAGGCCCCATGGGAAAAGAAAGGCGCTCCGCGAAGAGCCTCGCTAGCGAGGCCAGTCTGGGGCCGACGGAGGGGAGACACCAGCGGCTTGGCCGGCGGGAGTTCCCAGGCAGACTCTTGTAAGATTGTGAATCATGCCATAGCGTTTCAGAACTCTCTCAGAGTTTCCTGGGGTGCTCCGAAGCGGCCGCGGTGCCCGATACACCCTCCAGAACCGCCAGACCTCAAATATAATGTAATGTGAAGGCCTAACGGCGGGTGCCGCCGACCCTGAAAGACGATGACGACGACGATGACGAGGACGACCACGGCCACGGCCACGACTACGACTACGAGCACGACCATGACGACCACGGCGACGACGAAAACTATTAGAGTTTTCTCCGGCCTCTTACGACGAAAAACTGTATATTATTTTGCTTCGAGCGGTTCCCACCGAAATCTTCGGCGTTTGATCCTGACTTCACGCGCGCTGTTGGAACGATCCGCGCAGGGCCAGGTGGTCTCGACCAGCGCGGCGGCCAGGCCAGGTCGCAAGGTGCCGTTGTGCTAAAATCTAAAGCTCCAGGTTGTAAGGAATGAGCCTGACGAACGAAACCGTAACAAGCCCTGTGGCGAAACAACAATACCAAAACGCGTTGTGTGAGCGAAGCCCCGACACTGACGGGCCGGCGTGACGCCGTGACGCCTGTCATGTTTGATACGTCGTCCACTCGGTCGTTGTTGCGCCTGCTGGTTCCTGTGGCCAGCCTGACCTCGTCGCGAACGTCGCGCTTGATTGTATTAAAAGATGTTATATGGTGTATTATGTTGTGATGCGTGTTCTTCATTACTGCCTTCTCTGCTGCTGAATCATGAACCATGTTATCTTATGATCTCCTCTGCCAAAGTATGACTTGGTATTTGATTATCTGCATTACCATGTGAAGCCATGCAATGCCATGGTAGGTGATGTCAAGTTATATGTCAGCATACCATGCTCAGTGGTGCTTTATTACGAAATATGTCACCTATAAAGATATAGTCTATGATGTTGTGTTTAACTCGTTGCTATAGTAGTAGCACCAGCAGAACAATCATGTGTGATGCATTGGCTGCGTTGTTGTGTGCTCATTAAAGATTGTGTTGTGGTCTGTCCTGTCATGATTGTCCTTCGCAATGTGTGTATCCGTGGTTTTATACTACGTTCGTCGCCGCCGTCGTAGCACTCGTAATCCATGTCTGGTATGCTATTGTATGGTGGTGGACGCTTCGCTGTACTATGCTCTGTTATGTCATGGTAGGCGTTGTTATGTTGCTTTATGCCTGATGCTGTTTTCGGTCACGCTCTGCTCCGCCATGGCATTTAGGTACGTTGTTCGAACGGTTATGTTCATGCTCTGTTCTAGATGAATGTATGGGGGGCTATACCGCGCTGTGTCATAGCATGTGGTTGTCATGTTGTGGAACGCTCTGTGTTGTGATGAGGTGGTCGGGCATGTTATGTGATGCTAGGCTATGGGGTTGTAAGGTATGGCCTGTCACGTTATGCAATGGTGTGATACATTTTGGTATGATAGGTTATGTACGGTCTACTCTGTCAGTGCTCGCGCTATCATGCGGTGTCATGGTATGGTTTGCGATGTCATGTTAAGGAATATTATGGTGTGTCGTATTATGCCAGTATGATATAGTATGCCCTGCTGGCATACGATGTGTTATGCCTAGGCCTGTCATGGTATCACTACCAGTGTAAAGAATTGTATGATAGATGTTGCTGGTGTACGCTCTGGTATGGTATACCCTGGTATAGTCTGCCATGACATGTGCTGCTATGTTATGTTACGGTTTGATATGTTACGGTATGATGTGTGGTGTTGTGTTCTGGTATGTTTGTTCCGCTCTGGCATTGAATGAGCTGTTATGCTGTGGCATGTTATGCTATTATATGTCGGCGTACCTGCTTTGTAATGTTCAGGTATGATATGACACGGTGTATGTGTACTCCGCTCTGTCAGATGCAATGCCCTGTTATGTTATTGCATGCATTGTTGTGATATGGTTCGTTGTGGTATTGTACGTTGTGCGATGCCATGATATGTTATGCTGTGTGTCCTTCAACTCTATAGGTCTTTAGGCCTCTATAGGTCTTAGGACACCTCTGTGTAATGTGCTCCGTTCTGTCAGGTTCTGTCGTGCTCGTCGAAGGGGCGAGGCGGGAGTCTCGGGGGATTCTCGGTGGACATGGGGACTTGGCAGCCGCGGTATGCAGGGTGGGTGCCGGCCTGGGGGGTTGTTCTTAGCATCCAGCGACCCCAACCTGTCAGGAGGGAGATATCTGAAGGAACGTCGTTGTCTTTGCCCTCTTGGGGTTCTCTTGGGAGTTCTCTTGGAGCTCTCTTGGGCCTCTTGGGGGCCTCTTGGCGGCTTTTTGGGCGCCCCTTGAGGCCTCCTGGAGGCCTCTTGGGTTGGAAGGCTCGAAGTGTCGGTTGGTGTTCCCCCTCTCGGCCGCTTCTTGGGGCCATCTTCGGGGGCCTCTGTGGCCGTCTTGGAGCTGCCCTGGGCCGTCCGCCGTCCACCGTGCGGGGGCCGTCTTAGGTCTTAGGCAGTTTGGGAGCGCTTTGGGCAGCCGGTTGGGCCATCCCGGGGCGACGTCGGAGGCTTCCCCGGGCCGTCCTGGAGCGTCGGAAGCCCGGAACGGCGAGGACGGGAACAGCAGTGAAGCACAGTGAAAATCGATGATTCTCCCGTCTTGGGGCGCCTTTGGGGGCTCCTCTTGGGGTCCTCTCGGGGCGTCTTGGGGGTCCTGGATCCCGTCTTGAGGGCATCTTGGGGCGACTTTTGGCTGTTTCAGGGCCCTCTTGGAGGAAGCCGCGGCTCAAGTGAGCTCGAGGCGTTTCGGAGGGAAGAAATCGAAGGGGAAGCTTCTCTCAGGGAGGAGTGCTCCCCCCCAGGGAGAGGGGTCGCACAACTCGCGGGACCTCCATCCCCCACCCTCCAGCGGGGAAGGGGTCAAAGGGAATGGGCTTCCCTTCGACTCGATTGTTGCGATACTCGACTTCTCTCTGGCTGGAAGGCTTGAAGAGGAGAAGGACCCACGGATAGGGGAGGAGTGGCGACGGCGACGACAACGACGACTCAAACGGAAAAGCCAGTCACTCACGCCGACAGGGTCGGCAGCTTTATGCGTAGTGTCAGCTTGAGCGAGTTTCCTTCTAGCCAGTGCGCCATGCAACGCTCTGCGCGTGTTCGGTCCGTTCGTGTTGCCCAGCGTACAATCCGTAAGTCGTTGTGCAATGACAGTCTTTTCTGGCGCTTCCTCAGGGCGTACTGTGGCTGGCTGTCTGCCACACATTCACGCTGCTCGCGTAGTGGTTGGGCTTGCCTCGTGCGGGGACCTCTTGGCATGCTTGCGCATGTGGTATGCTTGCGTATGTACCATGCTGCCAAAACCCAGTCAGTGCTTCCTCTTTAGGTCAAGGGAGGGAAAAAACACCCGGACTGGGTACTATGCGTTTACCAAAAACGGCCCTGGGCGTTGACCAAACAGCCCTGCCCTGCTCGATTCCTTCCCCGGGCGCGCTTTCATGATGTACGACTTCGCGTGTCGGGGTGGCTATGATGCTTGTGGATTGCTTGACTCCTACCAGGGCTTCTCAGTTGCCGCACGCAGCAGTGGGCCGTGCGGGCCTGGCCTTGCCCGAGCCTGCGCCCGTGGGCACCCCCTGCGCTGGCCGTGCCCGCCGTGGTCCCGGGTTGCTGCCGCCCGTGGGCGCCTCGTGGGCCCCCCGCGTGCGCCCCCCGCGCCGATCGATCGGGGCGCGGCCTCCGTGCGTCTGCCGCGAAGGATTGCAAAAAAAACGATTGTTTTTTTTTGCAATCCTTCGGTTTTTGCTTGCAATCCAGGGCTTTTTTTGCAATCCTTCGTTCAAGGGAGGCCTCCTGCGAGCGCGCGGGGCCGCGCCGCACGCCCTCCGGACGCTGAAGCGGCGCTCGGCTGCCGTGGAGCCGGCGCCGCTCGCGGCCAGCCGCGGCAGCTCCAGGCCGTCGCCACCGCGCGTGCCGCGCCGCCGGGCGGCGCTCTGGGCATCGCTCGGGCGTGTGCATGTTTTCCTTCGGCGAGGGCCATCGAGGAGCATCCTTGATCATTTCACAAAAAAAAAAAAACACGCACGGAACCGAACAGAGCAAGGAAAATGGACGTCCGAGCGATGGCGAGCGCTGGGCGGCACCGCGCGCCTCTCGTGGGCGGCGAGGCGTGGCCGCAGCGGCGGCCGCGCGGGCGGTGCCAGGGCCGCCCGTCGCGGCTCGGCGCCCGAGCCGAGTGGCCGCGGCCCCCGCCCGTTGCGCCTGCGGCGCTCGGCGGGCGCACGTCGCCTCGCGGGGGCCAGGCTGGGTTGTCTGCATGCGGCGCGGTTGCTGGGCTACTTGCGGGCAAGGTTCGTATCCATATCCAGTGCGTCTTGGATTTTTGAGAAGGAGTATCACAAGGCCGAGGCGCACTGGATAGGGATAAAAATCGAGCCTCTAGGGGGCAAATTTATCCAAATGGAGCCCGACACTCCATATCGCAGTGGACATGGACAGAAGTATTGCTCGCACTACTGGCTGATGAGGGCTGCTGGCCAGCCGACATTGCGCCATGTGGGCGCCGACGATGCCGCCTCGCGCAGCAGGCTCTGCTCCCAGCAGCGCGCACGGGCGGCGCGGATGCGGGATGGTGGGCCACCTGGCGGGAACACCTCGCGGCACGCCCATGGTGCGGTTGACTGAGCGTCGTGCCGGCGCGGGCTGCCGCCGCGCGCCCGGCCCAGCTCTGCGGGTTCCCCTCCTCCCCCATACCCCGCTTCCGCGTCCGCCTCGTCGTTCTGTAGAGTTTTTTCGCGCTTGCAGAGGTCAGGAGCGGGTGTTCGCTACGTGCCAGCCCGTGCGCGCCTTGTGTGCATATCGTGGGCGTGCACCGTGTAGTTTGCACAACACAGACTATATCGCGTAGCTTGCATCATACAGGCTTGCAACATCATGGGCAGCACGCGTGCCATCAGTTGCAGCGCATGTCTTGCACATCGAGGGTGCAACATTCAACCGTTTGGGACCCACTTTAGCTAACATATGTCTTTTGATGCAACGCAATGGCGGTGCATCGGATTGGGCTTTGGCGCCAACCACCTGGTTGAGGAGATCAAGAGGAGGAGGCGGAGGAGGCGGAGGAGGTGGAGGTGGAGGAGTTATGACCAGGGAGAGCCTCCAAAGGTCCAGACGCGCCCCAGCATGTCCGAGCACTGGAGCACGGAGGGGCTCCAGTACCCCATCTTCGAGTGACGGCTCTCGAAGAGGAGCACCTTCGGAGGATCCCGGAGGGAGGATGCAGGTGGGAGGGGAAGGGGGAGGAAGAGAAGAAGGCACGAGGAGGCGGCGGGGGGGAGGAGGTGGAATCCACCTGTGCATGGGGGTGAGGAGGAGTGAAGATGATGAATGCAGGGAGGACAACGACGACGATAATTCATAACACAACTACCCATACGTAGGCAGCAGGAGCACGACTCCACGTCCTGAAGTATGCAGTTGAGCACCGCTGAGCCTTGGATCCTGGAGGCTTCATTTGAACGTCTGGGGATGTGGGGCCCAAGCTTTTCACATCACGGACATCATCTGCTTCGCGTTGCGCGGATGGGTCCCAGCGGGGCTCGCTGGGGCGAACTGCGCCCGATGCGGGGAGGCGGGCCGAGGCGACAGGAAGGGGCCACAGAGGGGGGGGGGGGAAGGCGGCTCCGCGGGCTGGCGCGGGGTCGGAACGCGGACGCAGCTCCCAGCGGCCCGCGCCCTGTCAGCGTACATCAGGGCGCGCTGGGGCCTGCGCTCTACCCCGAGACAGGGATCCTGCACTGAGCAGAGGTCCGCAGCCAGACCCCCGTCCCTCCCCCCCTCCCCCCCCCTTCCGCCCCATGTCGAAACGCCGAATCAAAACGCTCACCTGTTGCGGGGTGGGGGGTGTCCCAAGGACACGAGAGCGTCGGCGAGAGGGCCCGGGGCGGGGTCGGATCCCGGCGAGATGTTGCAGGGAGGGGGATCCCAATTATCGGGGGCGGAAAAGAGGGGGGTGATGACTAGGGGGGGGGATATCATGGCGCGGGCCATGATATTTCCGCAGATTTCACGGCGCCTCTTCTTATTTCATTACGTCCCAGGCCCCCCCGCTTGGCCGCGCACATGCCGCCGGTCATGATTTGCACCCCCCCCTCTTGGACCCCCCCCTCTTGGCCGCTCCCGAAATTAAGGACAGACTTCATGAGAGCCGGAGTGCCGGCGGGTGAGTCTGGGGTGGGGTCGGACCTAGGCGAGAAGTCGCAGGGCGGGTGCCCCCAAGAGCGCAGCTCCCGAGAGCCAAGGCGTCGTCGGGCGAGACACTGCAAGGCGGGGGGGCTCCAAGAGCACAGCTCCCAACAGCCAGGGCGTCGGCGGGGGGGTCTGGGGCGACAAATTGGGCCAACAATTGCAAGGTGCGGGGCCTTGTGAACACGGCCCCCAAGGGCCAGGGCGTTGGCGGGGGGGGCTGGGCCGGGGCTGGATCGGGGCAAGAAATTACAGAGTGGGGGGCTGCCAGAACACAGCTCCCGAAAGCCAGGTTGTCGGGGGTGGGGTCTGGAGCGGGGTCGGATCTGGAGAAGGAACTGCAGCGTGTTGGGCTCAAACACAGGCCACGAGAGCCGTGGTGTCGGCGGCGGGGTCTGGGACGGGATCGGGTCTGGACGAGAAGTTGCAGGGCGGGGTGTCGCAGGAGGACAGCTCCCGACGGCCAGGGAGTCAGCGCGCAGGTCTGGGATCGGGCCGGATCTGGGAGAGAACTTGCACGTGGGGGCCCCAAGAACACAGCGCCCGAGAGCCAGGGCGTCGGCAGGGGATTTGGGACGGGGTCGAATCGGGGCGGGGAATTGCCGGGTGGGAGTTGAAAAAATGAGCAGTCCTCCAGAGGGCCAGGGCGTCGGCGGGGGCGTGTGGGACGGGGTCCGATCTAGACGGGGAATGGCACGGCCGGGGGGTCCAAAGGACAGACCTCCCGGGAGCCACGGCGTCGGCGGGGGACTTTGGGACGGAGCCGGTTCCGGGCGAGAAATTGCAGAGGGGGGGGTCCCAAGGACACAGGTCCCGATGGCCAGGGCGTCTGCGGGGGGTGTCTGGGATGGGGTTGCATCCAGGCGGAAAACGGCAGCGTGTGGGGCCCCAAGAACACAGCTCCCGAGAGACAGGGGGCCATTCCTCCTTCTCCCTGCTTTCTCTTCTCTCCTTCCTCCCTTCCCCTCCTCCCTGCCAGCATTCCCTCCGCCCTCCCCCCTTCGTGTTCTCTCGTTCCCTCTCGTTTCCGCCATCCGCCTTCCGCCTTTGCTCCTCATTCCTTGTCTAATGCCATTTTGATTTATAGGTGGAGGGCAGGAGGGGGCGACTAGTATGGATTACGGTCAGGAACTTCGGCTGAGCGTGTCGCTCCGCTGGCTCTGACCCGCCGCGCTTCAGCTCGACACGCTATCCATATCGCTGCCCCCGAGCGTCAACGTCTTTGGCCTTTCCCAGCCTCCCGCCCCGCGGACCAGACCGGCACGCTATCGGCTTGCAGGGCAGCAGGGTCGCCACGGCGAGACGCCTCGCGGAAGCTCCCGACCGAAGCAGGAAGCAGATGATAGGCACTGGCCGTTTGCGCCGACATTGGCGCGTAAGCTGCCCGCGTCAGGTCGCGCGTGAGCGCCCTCATTTCTAATGTACTGTAGCGTCCCGCGCTGGCGGCCTGTTTCAGCCACCGCGTAATGTCTGCATGTCATCTCGGGTAAGACCCGTTTCTTGTCATCGCACCCGTGGCGCGGACTCTCATCGATAAACGGAAAAATTGCATAGCCAGGAATGTGCGGAGTTCCGCCCGGATTTCTTGGATCGGCGCTGGACCCACCTGGTGGCTGCTCAGCGAGGCTTGCGGGACACCCTGCGCAGGACACGTGACTCGACCAGGCTGCCAGCCGCAGTCCAAGTGGCGCCTCACAGCATCCAGCATCGACACACGGACTGCCAGGGCTGCCGCAGGCTGGCTGCGAGAGCTGAGCTGTCGCATGGGGTGCGCCATTTAGGCGCACGTGAGTCATGGCAAATAGTATCGGCGGCGAGCGCGGCGGGAAAGCGAGAAGGGTAATGTTTTTTTTTGTTTGAGAAGGCGGCGAGAGAGGCTTCCTGCGTCGTCGGGGAAGGCCCATCGAGAACTCTCGCCAGAAGGCCGCAGGCCTTCCGAGCCTCCCGGAAGGCCGCGCCCCTCGTCACGCCCCCCCCCCGCCGCCGCGCTCGCCTCCGAGAATACAGCTGAACCGCAGCGCCAGTGCCCCCAGGTTTCCCGCTCTGGCGCAGTCCGCGCGGGGGTGTCGGACGTGGGCCGCCGCCGCCCGGGGGGTGCCCCAAACAGGCTGCGCTCTGCTGCCTCCCGGGAGTGCCAAGGAGCCGACCTCGCTCCCCAGGCCGCCCCGCGCCGTGGAGAAGACGCAACGGCCACTGTCGGCGTCTGGGAGCCCGTTTTGAGATGTCGGTCCTGGGGGGGGAGTCGGGGCCTCGTGGTGTCCACGCTTTCGAGTGTGTATCTATAGGTATATGTATATGTACATACGTATATCGGCGTACATATATATATATATATACATATGAGCATGCATGCATACATGCATAGATACGTACATACACAGACAGACAGACAGACAGGCAGAAAGGCAGACAGACAGACAGACAGATAGACAGACAGACAGACAGACAGACGGACGGACAACAGTTCAATCCATACATACATACAGATACACACTCGGGGGTTTCCTGGGGGGGGTGTTGGGGCCACTTGGCGCCTCCGTGGGCTTCCTGGGGGCGTCTTAGGGCGGAAGGCTTGGAATGTCCGTTTGTGGTCCCCCTTTTGGTGGGCCCTTCTTGGGGCTGTCTTTGGGCTCTCTTAGACCGTCCTGGGCGCTCCCGGGAATGCCTTGGAGCCCTCTTGGACCGTCTGGGGCCCTTGGGGGCCTCTTGCGCAGTCTTGGGGCGGTCTTGCGGGCCTCTTCGGCCGTCTTCGAGCGTTGGAGGCTCGAAAAGTCGAGGACTCCAAGCACATTGAAAAACGCACGTAAGGGCAATCCATGAATTTGACTTCTCAAGGCCCTCTTAAGGAGGCTCTTGGGGCTCTCTTGTGGCGCCTTGATGGCCTCTTGGGCCGTCTTGGGGCCCTCTTGGGCATCTTGGACCGATCACGCGGCGATCCGACGCCCTCTTGGACCTTTTTGGGGGCCTGTCAGGGCCCTGTTGGGCCTGAATATATCACGCGACAACGGCCATGAGTTAGTGTGTGCATGTATTTCGTCGCCTCGTTACTTAGTTACGTTCTTCCCGACTTGGGACGTTACGATTCAGAGGAGGAGGAGGAGGAGGAGGAGGAGGAGGAGGAGAAGGAGTCTGTGATTGAGGAGCTTCCCCCCTCTACCTTCGCGGCAGGCGCAGTTAGTTTGCGCACTCTCTGGGCACTCTGCAGTTCCACTCTTTTGATTGTGCACTGCGCCTGCGCACGTGCCGCCTGCCTGCTTTGTGCTCCGCACCGCTGAGTTGGATTTCTATGTGTGGCAAGGGGGCCACAAGCAGAGAAGTCGACCTGGCGCAACGTCACATAGGTGGAGAGGAGCGGCACAGTCGAGTGTTCGCGCTGCGCCCCGCCCGGCCCGAGCGCGCGGCGGGCTTGGGGGGCGGCGGCGGCTCTGGGCCACCCATGGAGCGGCGGCGCCTCCGGCTCGCCTCTGGCGCTGGGCGCGCGAGGCCCTTGAGCGCTCCGCTGCTGCAGGGGGTGCCCCCCTCTCCTTCATAGCATTGGTCTCCTTCTATCCTCGCTCCTCGTCTCCTGCACATCACTGCTCCCCATTTTCCGACAGATCCTGGAGGCTGAGGAGTCCCTTGCATTGCTCCCCCTCCTCCTTCATATCAACAGGAGGTGTTCCAGAATGGGCCTCCCGTTGGAAGATGGCAGGAATTGCCATCTCTTCCTCGGCGGACGGCGGCGATGGGTAGGCGGAAGGCGGCGGGAAGTGCAACGAGGGCGGCTCCGCAGGCGGGTGGCTGCCGGAAGGCCAGCGGCAGCCGGTGGAAGCAAAAGCGGACCCCCTAAGAGATAAGAATCTCTTTGGGTTCAGGTTTCTGGTAACCTCTCCAGACAAGAACTGGAAGCGCCGCTTCTACAAGCTTGCGTGCGCACGCGCGCATGGAGTTGCACCAAACAAGCATGTGTGCGAATGGGGTGCAATCTCTGGGATCCCCTGCATGCCCAGATGGTTGTCATTGGTAGCTTATGTTTAGTGGTTGCCTGCGCTTGCTTTGGTCAGGTAATGCCATTGGCCTGTGCACACGTGTGTTTGTGTGTGCGTGTGTGTATGCGTGCGTGCGTGTGCCTGTGTGACTGTGTGTGCCTGGGTGCGGCTGTGTGCGTGTGTGCGGCTGTGCGTGCAGGGTGTGTGCTTGCGGAGTGTGCTCTGGGGGGGACGGGCGGGGGGAAATACGGTGGGCGTGCGGGGTGCGTTATGGGGTGGGGGGGTGCACGGTGGGGTGCGGGATGTGTTCGGGGGGGACGGGCGGGGGATGTACGGCATGAGTATGGTCTGTGCGTGGTGTACGTCCCTATATGGCCATTTGCGTGCTTGCTGGGTGTGTGTCATATGTTGTGTGTTGCATGCGTCGTGTGTTGCGTCGTGTGGCAGTCAAGGATGGCAATGACACTGACGATGATGATGACGATTGCGATGAATCTGATAATGTCAATGATGGTGACGATGATGATGATGATGATGATGATGATGATGATGATGATGATGATGATGATGATGATGATGATGATGATGATGATGCCGCTAATGCTGATGATGATAAGGGTGGTAGTGCTGATAAGGATGATGATGATGATGATGATGACGATGATGATGATGATCATCATGATGATGATGATGATGATGCTGATGATGATGATGATGATGATGATGATGATGATGATGCTTGGTCTTGTTGCTTTGGTCAGCTGTACCACGCGGCCTCTGTACGGGTGCGTGCGTATGTGCGTATCTGCCTGTGTGCGTATTTGCCTCTGCGCGTGTGTGTGTGTGTGTGTGTGTGTGTGTGTGTGTGTCTGTGTGTGCGGCCGTACTAACGTGCGTATGCAGGGGGTTTCTAACCCAAAATGGACGGGGCCAATTAACCCAAGTGGCCGTTGAACCCGCCTCGCCGTTTTAACCCGCATTGCCATTGTAACCCGCCTGACCGTGGAGCACTACATGGATCGAGCGTGGCCGTTTTAACCCGCATGACCGTTTTAACCCGCTATGGTTTTGACTCGCATGACCGAAAGATTCGCTAGATTTCGCGAGCGAACTCAGTAGCACATGTTCCGAGGATGTCTCGAGCGGGAGCCTCACTTCTAACGAACGGCGTCTCAAACAAACGACTTTAATTATCTCACTTGTTCGAGGATGTTTCGAGCGAGCTAAATTACTCCGACGGTAGGACCCCACATGAGAGTCTGTTTAGCTTACCCTTTGCCCTTTCCTCCTCCCCCTGGCGGACACCCTCTCCTCTCGCCCCTTGCACTGCCCTCTCTTCCCCCTTCTATTTCTCTTCCTCCTCCTCTTTCTCCTCCTCCTCCTCTTTCTCCTCCTCCTCCTCCTCCTCCTCCTCCTCCTCCTCCTCCTCCTCCTCCTCCTCCTCCTCCTCTCGCGCCACCTCCTCCTCGTCGTCGGCCTCCCCCATGCCCCTTCCCTCCTCATCCCCCTGCCTTTTCTCCATGTGCACCTCCCCTTCCCCCTCGTCGGGGCAAGCAAATCCATGTTCCTCAGCGCCGTCGCCGCCTCGGCCAGCGCGCGCGCGTCTGCCGACGGCTAGATCGCGAAGCCGTCGGGACAAACCTCCGGGCTGGGCCGTAGGCTCCCGCTCGAGACTCTCATATTCAGGTCTCAAGAGCCCAAAAGTGACGACAGTTGCACGTTGCGGATGACCCGCCCGGATTCGAACATGAAGTGCGGGCCTCATAGGGAGGGGGCTCCCGCCTGAGACTTCCTCACAATTCACTCACAAACGAGGCTCCAGCCTGATACTTCCTCCATATTCAGGCCTCAAGAGCCCAAAAGTGACGACAGTTACACGTTTCGGATGACCCGCTCGGATTCGAACATGAAGTGCAGGCCCCATAGGGAGGGGGCTCCCGCCTGAGACTTCCTCGCAATTCACTCACAGACGAGGCTCCCGCTCGAGACTTCATCCATATTCAGGTCTCAAGAGCCCAAAAGTGACGACAGTTGCACGTTGCGGATGACCCGCCCGGATTCGAACATGAAGTGCGGGCTCCATAGGGAGGGGGTTCCCGCTTGAGACTTCCTCACAATTCACTCACAGACGAGGCTCCCGCTTGATACTTCCTCCATGTTCAGGTCTCAAGAGCCCAGAAGTGACGGCAGTTACACGTTCCGGATGACCCGCTCGGATTCGAACATGAAGTGCGGGCCCCATAGGGAGGGGGCTCCCGCCTGAGACGTCGTCGCAATTCACTCACAGACGAGGCTCCCGCTCGAGACTTCCTCCATATTCAGGTCTCAAGAGCCCAAAAGTGACGACAGTTGCATGTTGCGGATGACCCGCTCGGATTCGAACATGAAGTGCGGGCCTCATAGGGAGGGCGCTCCCGCTTGAGACTTCTTCACAATTCACTCACAGACGAGGCTCCCGCCTGATACTTCCTCCATATTCAGGCCTCAAGAGCCCAAAAGTGACGACAGTTGCACGTTGCGGATGACCCGCTCGGATTCGAACATGAAGTGCTGGCCCCATAGGGAGGGGGCTCCCGCCTGAGACTTCCTCGCAATTCACTCACAGACGATGCTCCCGCTCGAGACTTCCTCCATATTCGGTCTCCAGAGCCCAAAAGTGACGACAGTTGCACGTTGCGGATGACCCGCTCGGATTCGAACATGAAGTGCGGGCCCCTGAGGGAGGGGGTTCCCGCCTGAGACTTCCTCACAATTCACTCACAGACGAGGCTCCCGCCGGATTCTTCCTCCATATTCAGGCCTCAAGTCAGCGAGTAGTGATGATGATGATGATGATGATGATGATGATGATGATGATGATGATGATGATGATGATGATGGTGGTGGTGATGATGATGATGATGATGATGATGATGATGATGATGATGATGATGATGATGATCGTTCGATGCCGATGATGGTGAGTGAGCGTGGGATGGTGATGGTGATGCTGATGGTGATGATGATGATGAGTGGGGAGTGATGGTGATGGTGATGATGATGCGGAGGAGGAAGCAAAGAGGAGCAGAGGAGAGGGAGGAGGAGGAGGAGAGATCCTGCGCGGAGGGTGTGCAGAGAAAACAAGAAACCCACTTAGGATGTGGGGAAATAACTCCCATCACCTTCTCGTTCCGAGAAGGCGCTTCCCCTGTTCCGCCGAGCAATTTATAAAAGTAAGTTGCGCCCCGCGGCCAGTTGCCCCTCGCGTCGCAGTTCTGTCTTAGTTAGTCAAACGCATGGCCTAACAAACTCCCATCACCTTCTCGTTCCGAGAAGGCGCTTCCCGTGATCCGCCAAGCAGAGTACCCTTTGCGGCAAGGAGCCCGTTGTCCTTCGCGAGTTTGCTCTTCATGTTTTCCTTATTCCGCATAGCCTAACAAGCTCCCATTGCCTTCTCGGTCGGAGAGGGCGATCTGTATTTCTATCCTTGCTCCCGCCCTCCTACAGATCTACATCGTTGTTTATCCTCCACCTGGGAGCGGGGGCTGAAGGGTGAGAGGGGGTAGAGGCGCGGAGGAGGAGGAGGAGCAGGTTGAGTAGGAGGAGTAGGAGGAGCAGGCGAGGGATGGTGAGTGAGGGTGAGAGCAAGATGCGGGACGATGCGGAGAAGCAGGAAGAAGCGGAGAGCGGAGGGAGGAAAAAGAGGAGGAGGAGGATCAGCAGAAGGAGGAGGAGGAGGAGGAGGAGGAGGAGGAGGAGGAGGAGGACGACGAGACGGACAACGACGACGAGGACCAGGAGGAGGAAGATGAGGAGGAGAGGAAGAGGAGGAGGAGGAAGAGGCAATGGAGTAGAGCGACGAGGGAGGAGGAGGAGGAGGAGGAGGAGGAGGAGGAGGAGGAGGAGGAGGAGGAGGAGGAGAGAAACATAATTAGGCAGGGGTCGCAGCAGGAGGAGCAACAGGTGGCGAGGGACGCCACTGGAGGTGCGTGGAACTGCCCCTGTCTGGCGTGGCCGCAGGCCCCCCTCCGAGTAGGGGCGGCTGGTCCCGGTCGGGAGCCCGCAGCAGCAGCAGCAGCAGCAGCAGCAGCAGCAGCAGCAGCAGCAGCAGCAGCAGCAGCAGTAGCAGCAGGAGGTCGAGGCGCCAGAGGAAGATCGGGCGGGTGCAAGACCGAAATACATCGCACAACGGTCTTCCCGAAGATTCTCGGGCCGTTCTGGAGCGCCCTGGAACGGCCGCGGCGCCCGATGAGCCCTCCAGAACTGTCGAGTCTCAGAGATCTTCGATTTGTCCCCTTCCAGTTTTTTCCCGGTCCTGGCTGCGTCTCGGGGGAGGTACTTGCGGACCGCTAGGATGGCATTCAGTGGCCTTGGGATGGCCTTGCCGCTGGGCCTCTTGACCTCCACGGAGGGTCAGGGAGGAGCAGCAGGAGGAGGGGGGGTGGATGGAGGAGGCCTTCTGATCCGACCTCTGACAGCGCGGGAAAGAAAGCGTGATTGTTTCTGTGCCACTTGTGTTCTGCCTTGGGAGGCCCGCTTCGGGCTTCGGGGCTCTGACAGCATGGCAGTGGACGAGAGGTGGTGACCCAGGGCGCGGGCCAAAGGCCTGGGCGCCCGTGCGCAGAGAGAGCATCGAGGATCGACCGGGCGGCAGGAGCCCTGTCCGGGCCACTGGGAGGGCGTCCAGCGGCCTCCGAGGCCGTCCAGGGCCTCCCCATCCCCCACTTGGGGTAGGCCTCCCGAAACCTGGAGGGGACAACCTAAATGATTTCCCCTTATCAAGGAGGGTAAATCGGCCACTGGGGGCCGAGGCCACGCCAGCGGGGATCAGGGCTCCGTCAACCGATGCTCACGCGGGCCTCCCGCCCTGGTGAGCTCTGAAGACCTCGGGGGAGCTGTTTGGGAACCGCTGCGAAGGAGAGGGGATGATTTTTTACCGCGGCATCGAAGGCCCGTTCCCAGAGAGGCTCGGCGAGAGCACGAAGTCCGGCTATGCGTGACAAGGCCCGGGTGGCCTGGGTAACGAAGGATGGCCATGCAGGAGGCAGAGGACGGAGGAGAAGCGGGAGGAGTGCGCCAAAGGGAGCAGGGCGGAGAGATCGTGATGGATCTCGAGTGGCCTCGCGAGGTGCGCGCTCCTGCCTTTTGTGGGGCCGGGCAGCGTTCACCCCCGCGGGAAGGCACGGGAGTGGGCGATGCCGCACGGTGACGCCCGCTGTCGGCCAGCGCGACGGCGGGGCTGCCGTCGTCGAGCCCGTGGTCCTCTCCAGACTGGGAGAGAACGTGCCCCGGTGGCCGCGGGGCGAGGCAGGCCTCGCCGGCCTCGCGCGGTGCCCGGCAGAGGATGCGCACGGGTCGCTGAAGTCGGGGGCGGAAAAGAGGGGGGTGATGACTAGGGGGGGGTGGATATCATGGCGCGGGCTATGATATCTCCGCAGATTTCATGGCGCCTCTTCTTGTTTCATTACGTCCCTGGCCCCCCCGCTGGGCCGCGCACATGCCGCCGGCCATGATTTGCACCCCCCCCTCTTGGACACCCCCCTCTTGGCCGCTCCCGATGAAGGCTGCCCGAGAGCAGCCGTCGGAGAGACTGACGGGGGAATCGGCGCGCATTGCAGAGGCTGCTGTAGGGCTCGAGCCCGTGGAGCTGGCCGACAGATGCAGCCCACGCTCTGGTGTGTGTCTCCTGACGGGGAGGTGAGCGCGGCTTCGACGGCAGCCACCGCGACGTATCTTTCGCGGCCGGGGTCTTAGCGGCCTTCTTGGCGCGCTGCCATGTCGGCCGCGCCGCGCACGTCAGTCGCGGGGAGGTCGCCCGAGATGGGCCAGAAGCCGAGGTCACGCTGGGAAATCTGGCCGATTGTCGTGAGCATGGGGCACACGCGCGGGGCGTTGCGGCAGGCAGCTGCTGGCGTCGAGGCAATACCCAGCAGAGATGTGCACGTTGGATTATTTCGCCGACGTGCATCGCAGCAATGCCCCAGGGGGGGGGGCAGGGAGAAAACTGGCACGCCGCGTCCCCTGCGAGAGGGGATGCCAGTTATGATTGAACACCTCGGCTGGTCCTTCTCTGATGTTCTGCCCAGGGCAGGAGTAGAAGAATGACCAGGAGCACGACGAGCAAGAGGACCCGGAGGGGTCACCTCTTCCCCCTCTTTCCTCACGGGAGCGCCCAGAAGCATCCAGAACCTTACAGCCTCCATACTTTCGGACTATCTGTGCAGATGCCCCCGAGAACCCCCTGAGCCCCTCCAGGACCATGACATCAGCGTTCGAGTCGGGGGAGGGGGGAGCGACAGCATCACCACCAGGGCCAGCGCTAGAGAGAAGGTCCGCGATGCCTCTCCCGAGCTGGCGAAGAGAGAACCATTCTGCCTCGAGATCGTGGTGGTGGTGGTGGTGGTGGTGGTGGTGGTGGTGGTGGTGGTGGTGGTGGTGGTGGTGGTGGTGGTGGTGGTGTCGTCTCTCCCTGCCCCTGGACGACAAAGGCGCCCTATCTATCTGTTTGCAATACCTGTAGGGCTGCGCTCTCTCCGCCGCCGGCCTCCAGGCTGAGCCATCTAGTGACGATCCCGTCGCTTCGTGGCTTGCACGTCCGGGGCGCTTGAAGCCCGGGTGTTGCGACCAGCAGCCGTCCCCCTCCTCTTCCGCCTCCTCCTCCTCCTCCTCATCCTCCGCCTCCTCCTCCTCCTTCTCCTTTCCCTCTCCCATTCCCCCCCCCCTTTTGCCTCGATCCATCCTCGTCCGCTGCAACTACGGTGGGGGCGTTCATTAAGGAATGTGCACAGAGGAGGCCTCAGGCTCTAAAGGGTTCCTCATCTGATGAGGGCGGTGGTGATAGTCATGGCCAATCGACGATCGGAGTTCCAACGGCTTCCAGACCCTGGGTTCCTTGTCCAATGGTTCGTTATCCAATGCCCTTGATCGTATTATGTTCCTCTTATTAGTTGTCGTTCACCTATTTCTCCTAATGTTCGCCCTCTTCCCACCATCCTCAGTCTCTTCCTTTTTTCTCACTAACCTCCTGAAGATCATTCGGCGCCCCCTGTGGGGCTCATCGGGGTCCTTCTGGGAGCGTGTCTGGGGCCTCTCGGGGGTCTCGGGCCCTCTTGGGGCCATCTTGGGCCATCATGGAGCTCTCTTTTAGCAAATTGGTCCACCAGCATGCTTGCCAGATTCTTACTACAATTTCCGCGAGGACCGCATCCTCCGACCCTCGAACCTCGAGCCGCCGTCAGGACTCCGCGTGGAACATTCGTCTTCCTCGACCCCCGAGCCTCCTTCCCCGAGCCGAGTGCTCCCCCCAGACATCCGATGTTTTGATATTTTCCATATAGGGTCTCCAGACGTCCCGACCCTTTCCCCCAGGGCCAGTTTTTCGCCCCGAGTCTCGGCGGCGAGCGATGGGGGGGACGTGAGAAGGAACATGCCTTCTCAGAAGGCGGTGGGACTTCTCAGAGTCCCCCTCGCGCCTCCTGAGAAGTGCTCTCTCGTGCCTTCAGGGAAGGCTCCGAGAACTTCTCAGAAGGCACGGGGACTTCCGAGCCTTCTGAGAAGGCCTTCGCCCTCTCACTTTCCCCCCTCCCCGGGCTCGCCGCCGAGCGTCATTGTTGTTGCCGGTCCCGAGGCCCTCCGAGGGCCCCCGGGATGCCGAGAGCGGCCCCCCGAAAAAGCATCCCGCCGCGGTTCTCGCCCAGGATATGCGCGAGCACGCCTGGGCCCCGCGCCCCGGCGACGCCGCCCCTGGCCCAGCAGGGGCGTTTTCTGTCCTCCCGCCCGCGGCCGCCGCGAAGGCCGGCCACGCGCGCCGAAAGGGGCAGGGCGGGGACGGGGGGGAGGGCTTCTCGGGAGCGCCCCGCTCTTCTCAGAGGGCGCGGGCCCCGGCTGCAGCTGTGGGAGGCGGGCGCCCTCCGAGAAGCGGCCTCTCTCTGAGCAGGAGCGCGTGCTGTGGGCGCTTGGAGCGGGGGGCGGGGGGGGCGTTCGGAACGGACCCCCCCCCTGGATTCAGGGGGGAGGGGGCGGGGTCGAACCCCCCCCCACTCCCTCCTCAGGGGGGAACGAGGGGGGGTTCGAAGCCCCCCCCCCTCCCCTCCCTGGGGTCGGCGCCGGCGCTCCAGAATCACAAGGCAGGCGCCCGTGAGACGCGCCCCCTCCCTGCTGAGAAGCCTTCCCCCCTCCCCCCTGCAGTTCCCCCTTCCCCTTGCAGGATCGCTGAGTCGTTTCTTGACGGTCCCGAGGCCCCGGAAGGGCCCCCGCGGAGGCCGGAAATGGAGAAGCACCTCCCGCCCCGCGACTTTGTTCGCAACGCGAGGGGGTCTCCCTTCCCCGCCCCCCTGCAGGTCTCCCTTCCCCCTCCCCCCTGCCGGGTCTCCTTTCCCCCCCCTGTTCCCCTGCAGGTCTCTCTCTTCCCCCTCCCCTCTGCAGGGTCTCCCTTCCCCCCCCCCCTTCCCCTGCAGGGTCTCCCTTGCCCCTGCAGGGTCTCCCCTGCAGGGTCCCCCTTCCCCCTACAGAGGAGGAGGAGGAGGAGGAGGAGGAGGAGGAGAGGAGGAGAGGAGGAGGGGAGGAGGAGGAGGAGTCCCTCCCTTCCCCCTGCAGGGGTCCCTCCCTTCCCCCGCCCCCCTGCGCGCCGCCGAGAGGGGCCCGCCCGACCGGCGGGGAGGCCCCCGCCCGGGGGGGAGGGCGCGGGCGGGCGGCCCCGCGGCGGCGCGCTTCGCCGGGGCGGCGCGCTCCGCGCGGCCGCGCGGGGCGCTGGCGCCTCGATGGACCCGCAGGCGGCGGCGGTGTCTCCGAGGCTCGAAGGGCAAGCAGCTTGTCCACGCACCTCGTCCTCCTCCTCCTCGTCCTCCTCCTCTGCTCCTCCTCCTCCCCTCCTCCTCCTCCTCCTCCTCCCCGTCCTCCTCCTCCTCTTCCTCCTCCTCCTCCTCCTCCTCCTCCTCCTCCTCCTCCTCCTCCTCCTCCTCCTCCTCCTCCTCCCTCCCCTCCTCCTCCTCCTCCCTCCTCCTCCTCCTCCTCCTCCTCCTCCTCCTCCGTCTCCTCCTCCTCCTCCTCCTCCTCCTCCTCTCCTCCCCTCCTCCTCCTCCTCCTCCTCCTCCTCCTCTCCATCCTCCGCCCCGTCCTCCTTCTTCTCCTTCCCTTCTCCTCATCCTCCTCGGGGGTCCAGACCGATGGACCTGCGCAGGGTTCTAGGCCTCCTGGATGTGGTCTGAGTAGATGGGTTCGGAGGATATGCGATGTATCGGCGATGCGGCGAGATCCTCTGACCCCATCTACTCGGACCCCGTCCAGGCGCAGGGTGCAGTCAACCCCGATAGTAAGGATGATCAACTTTCCAAGGGGGTACCCTTGCAGCCTTGCCTCTTCGGTCAACTGTGGCCCATCCTCGACCACGTTCGATGGCCTGTCCCGCTCGAAGGGCCTCGGCAGGGGCGTCCAAGACCCTGGCATCTTTGCCCCGCATCCTTACTATTTAGATGGACTGTATAGGGGAATGGGGAAGGCTTCGTAGAAGGATGCTACTTCTCAGAAGGCGCGGGTCTTGTCTGTAGATGTCGGGCCGGCAACTTCTACGAAGCAGCTTCTTTTTAAGAAACCTTCCCCCCTCCCCCTACCCCCTTGTGCGTACCGCCAAACGGGAGGTTCGCGCCATGTCGACTGGCGGCGACCCCGCCGCCGGCGTTCAACGACGCCGGCGGCGGCCCAGAATCGGTCGATGTTCAACGATCTGGCGTTTCTGAAACGGCCGATCGTTCGAGGTTGAACGATCCTCGCGGTTTCAGAAACCAGCGACGAAGTTGGCACGGCACGAACCTGCCGTATGTCGCTCCGCTGGCTCTGGCCCACCACACCTCCTTGCGACACGTTGTCCACGTCGTGGTCCCCGAGCGTCGACGTCCCAAGCCTTTCCCAGCACCCCGCCCCGCGGAGCGGAGCGACACGCCTTCCACTCGCAAGGCATACTCAGCGTGTCGCCGGGGCCGCCGCCGCGACACGCCGTGCCAGAGTCTCCGACCGTAAACGTAGTCTTCGGGAGGTCCGCGCGAACTTCTTTGGGTCTGCGCTAGACCCCCCCCGGCGGCTCCCCCGGCGCCGTGCCGCGCTCCGCGCGCCGGGAGGAGGGTCCAGCGCAGAGCCAAGATACCCGCGCGGGCCTGCAAGATTGTATGCTCACGGCGGGGGCGTTCGTTCAGAAATGCGACAGGAGGCTGGAAACCCTGGAAGGTTCCTCATCTGATGAGGGCGGCGGTGACATCCACGGCCGATCCACGATCGGAGTTTCATCGGCTTCTGGACTTCGGACCCCTTATCTACAGCGTCCTTGTCCAATGCTCCACCGTGGCCTTGGACAGAGTTCTGGCTGCACACGGCTTCCCTTCGCCCGAGGAGGTGACCAGGAGAGGACGCAAGGTGGTCGCTACAGTCGACCCGCAGAGTAAGGATAGGCATCCATCCCAAGGGTATCATTGCATCCTGGGTCCATTCTTGGACACTTTCGTTGGCCGCGCCCCGCTCGAAACGCTTCGAGATGGGCGTCCAAGGCCCTTGCATCTTTATCGCGCATCCTTACTCTGCGGGTTGACTGTAGCAGGGCTGAGCGTGCTGGCACTGCGGCCCCGGAGAGGAGCGGCCAGTGATTTCCCTTCCTCGGTGGGGGTTGTGGCCCCCCGCCCAGCGTGCCAGGGCGTGGGAACTCTTTTGTTGCACGCAAGTCCTCGGACGCGAAGAGGCAAACTCAGGGGGGGAAGAAGCACACAGACACAATTCATCGACGATTAAGCAGAGCAGATTAGAAAATATGGGAAGTGGGGGGGAAGGCAAAAAACCAGAAAATATGGGAAAATATTGGGAATCCTGTTATTTGTGTGTATTTATTTGTGTGTCCCAGGGCCCCTTCACAAACAAATGAATGCCCCCCACGGTGATTGGTGGAGTGCGATGCGAGACGCACATGCTGTAAACCATCGGCTGAGGCTCCAAGCACGCTCGCCCCCCAGCAGGCTGTAGGAGAATCCAGGAGTGTCCATCAGCTTCTTGTCCACTGCCCCCACCGTGTGATGATGCCTCTGCTCTTCCCCACGAGAGCAAGGATGTGGCGACCCGCCGAGCGAGCAAGGGCCACCAGCGAGCATTCTTTTGTTGCGTGCAGGCCCTCGGACGCGGGAAGAGACAGAGAGAGAGAGAGAGAGAAAGAGAACATGCGCCATTTCGACGAAGACGACGACGACGACGACGACGACGACGACGACGACGACGACGACGACGACGAGTTCGACGAGTGGCCTCTGCGACGACAACGAGTTCGACGAGCTCCCCTGCAGGCGGCGGCGGCGGCCGCGAGCGGCGCCCAGCCGCCCGGGCCGCCCGGCGGCCCGCTCGTCGAGCAGCGCGCCGTGGGCCTCGGCGCCGGCCTCGAGGCGGTGGCGGCCCGTGCGGAGGCCGCGGGGGGAGGCAAGCTCTGCACGAACGAAATGGGCACGGAAAGAATGGGTACGATGCCTAACAGCAGTTCCTGTTCATTCTGAACAGGACTGGCTGTCCGCGCCGCCGCGGCCTGTGTCCATTCGAGACAGAAGGCCGCCTGCCCAACAGCGGCCGCTGTTGGTTTGGGACAACATTTGCTGTTGGGCATTGTACCCATTCTTTCGGTACCCATTTCGGGCGTCCAAGCAAGCGCCGCCACGGCCACTTGGGACTCGGGCGAGCGCAAACACGGACCAGGAGACTGTTTGTTTTTGGGTCAGGCGATAAAACCTGGGTCATCGGGCTTTTGCCCCCCCTCCCCTCCCCCCCCAGGATACCCTAACCTTGCCGGTTGTGCAGGTCCGCGGGATGGGGGGAGCGCGGGCATATGCAGGGCTGCCCACAGCGCGAGGGCTAGGTTATCGGCCGGCCCCCTCATCCCCTCCCCCCCCCCCGAGATATCCTGGCTTATCGCCGACCCCAAAAAACGGTTTCTCTCTAGAGGGGCATGGATCAGCGAAGGGTCCCGTTTCCATGGGAGACATCGCGGACCGCCGCCGCCGAGCGAGGCGGCACCGGCCGCATTCTGGGGAGGGCACCTCCCCCGATCCATGGGTTTGGCGATCGCGCGCCAGATCCATGGATCGCTAATCCATGTTTGCGCGCCCCCGATGGGAAGCGCAAGAGCGGCGGCGAGCAGGGGAGAGGAGGTGAGAAGGAGGGGGTCTTCTCAGGAGGCGGCGGGGCTTCTTGGAAGCCCTCGCGCCTCCTGAGACGTTTTTCTGCGTCCTCGGGGAAGGCGCTTCAAATTTCTCAGAAGGGACGATCGAGGTGGGTACTGAAAGACTGGGTACAATGTCCAACAGCAGTTCCTGTTCATTCTGAACAGGACTCGCTGTCCGCGCCACCGCGGACGTTGTTCTTTGAAGACAAGAAGCCGCCTGCTCAACAGCGGCAGCCGTTGGGGGGCGCCCGCCCGAGCAGAGGCCGAGGGAGCCCAGCGCCGCCACGGCGTCGGGGAAGCGCAAGATTGGCGGCGAGCGAGGGGGGAAGTGAGAAGGAGAAGGCCCTCTCAGAAGGTTCGGAATTCCCCCGGCCTTCTGAGAAGTTTTATGGGCGTTCCCCGAAGACGCAGAACACCTCTCAGAAGGCGCGAGGGTTTCTGAGAAGTTCCGCCGCTTGGCACGATCGATATGGGTGCGGAAAGAAATGGTACAATGTCCAACAGCAGTTCCTGTTCATTCTGAACAGGACTCGCTGTCCGCGCCACCGCGGACGTTGTTCTTTGAAGACAAGAAGCCGCCTGCTCAACAGCGGCAGCCGTTGGGGGGCGCCCGCCCGAGCAGAGGCCGAGGGAGCCCAGCGCCGCCACGGCGTCGGGGAAGCGCAAGATTGGCGGCGAGCGAGGGGGGAAGTGAGAAGGAGAAGGCCCTCTCAGAAGGTTCGGAATTCCCCCGGCCTTCTGAGAAGTTTTATGGGCGTTCCCCGAAGACGCAGAACACCTCTCAGAAGGCGCGAGGGTTTCTGAGAAGTTCCGCCGCTTGGCACGATCGATATGGGTGCGGAAAGAAATGGTACAATGTCCAACAGCAGTTCCTGTTCATTCTGAACAGGACTCGCTGTCCGCGCCACCGCGGACGTTGTTCTTTGAAGACAAGAAGCCGCCTGCTCAACAGCGGCAGCCGTTGGGGGGCGCCCGCCCGAGCAGAGGCCGAGGGAGCCCAGCGCCGCCACGGCGTCGGGGAAGCGCAAGATTGGCGGCGAGCGAGGGGGGAAGTGAGAAGGAGAAGGCCCTCTCAGAAGGTTCGGAATTCCCCCGGCCTTCTGAGAAGTTTTATGGGCGTTCCCCGAAGACGCAGAACACCTCTCAGAAGGCGCGAGGGTTTCTGAGAAGTTCCGCCGCTTGGCACGATCGATATGGGTGCGGAAAGAAATGGTACAATGTCCAACAGCAGTTCTTGGTTCATTTTTAGCAGGGTTCGTTGCCGGCGTCGCCGCAGCCGTTGTCCATTTGAGACAGAAAGCCGCCTGCCCAACAGCGGCCGCTGTCGGTTTTGGTCAACATATGTTGTTCGGCATTCTACACATTTCTTTCCGTACCCTTTTCGAGCCTCCACAGGAGGAAGCCAAGCGCCGCCACGGCGTCGGGGAAGCCCAAGGCCGGCGGTGAGCGAGGGGGGGAAGTGAGAAGGAGAAGACCTTCTCAGAAAGCGGCGGGACTCCTCAGAAGCCCTCGCGCCTTCTGAGAGGTGTTCTGTGTCGTCGGGGAAGGCCCATAAAACTTCTCAGAAGGCCGGGGGACTTCCGAACCTTCCGAGAAGGCCTTCTCCTTCTCATTCCCCCCCCGCGCTCGTCGCCGACAAGACTCGGGTTCTCCTGTGCTCGGGCTTGCCTACGCTTCGTGACGAGTCCGCCCTGGATTTTGACAGTCCTGCTTTTGTGGGAGGCTTGCAGCGGGAGCTCACGTCAGCCAGTCCGAGTCTCCCGATCCCGAGTCTCATGTCTCCCCGACCTGAGTTTGATCAAAGAGGTTATGGGCCGTTGCCGTCCACTTCTGGACCTCCAGGAGGCTTCTCGTCTCAGCATGCTCTTCGGGATAGGGCAGGGTACCCTCGCATGTCCTTCGGCTTGGCCGGCGGAGAGCCTCATGGTCTTGGAGGATTATGTTTTGTTCTACACCTTAGGCGATGCTTAAGAAAACCTAAGTTTTCGGCCAGAGTCTCGATTATTCTTAATGTTTCAATGTAAATCCTAAGATTTGAATGGACATTCTGGGTTTTTATTTAAATTCTGAGACTTTCAATTTCTTAACCCATGATTTCTAAAGCATTTCGCAGGGTGTAGGTTTGAGGTTTTGCTCCCGCCCTGGCTCTGGACCGTGGGCCTCGCCCAGTCAAGCAGTGGCGAAGCGTCCTGGCTCGGCCATAGCCCTACCAAACCATGTTCTAAGAGCCTTCTGCGGTTTCCACGAAATGTTCTTAGAACATGTCTGGCTGGGACTGTCTTGTTTTAACACATCGGGAAGATTTTCTAATAACATGGTTTATGTTCTTAGAGCATTTGTGGGTTCTAAGAACATCCCGTGGTAGGACTATAGGAATGCTGGGACGGTCGGTCCCTGCTCCAATGTTCTGTCTCAGGTTTGGCCTTAAGTTTTGCCTCCGCCCTGGCTCTGGACCGTGGGCCTCGCCCAGAGGTCACCAGATCTGCCCGCCGAGGGGGGGGGCCTCCCAAGGCCCGAGGGCGGCAGATCGGACAGCACGCCCGGCACAGTCAACACACTCATATCCTTCCTCGATCCTCGAGGGCCGATGGCCGAGGTCCAGAACTCGGGGAGGAGGAGGAGGAGGAGGAGGAGGAGGAGGAGGAGGAGGAGGAGGAGGGGAGATGGGCAGAGGGGGGGATGCATCGACCCCCAATAGCCCACTGATCGCCGAGAGTGGCCGATAGCCCCAACCTGCCCAGGAAGGTGCGGACTCACTATCGGAAGCCTGTCGCCGATCTATCGGCGATGTATCGCCGACTGAGGGTCGCTGTATCCCCCCCTATGCCAGTCCCCCCCCCCCCTAATCGTTGCCCCCTCAAGAACAATCAAAAGCCTCCCCTCGATCCTCCAAGGTCGTGGGTCGAGGGTGCAACTCGGCGGGAGGAGCCCTTGGCGGCCTCGAGAGAGAAGATGGTGTGGCCTCCGCTGCTCCCCGAGGTCGAGGGCCTCCTGCTGTGGTGGCGCTCGAGCTCCCCGACCCTGGACTTCCGGCCGTCCCCCGAGTTCCTGCTGGACGCCGCCAGGGCAGACGCAACCAGAGGGAGAAGCATGGAGGAGTCGGGGAGGAAGCAGGGAGGAGGTGAGGGGGGTAAGGAGGTAGAGAGGAGAATGAGGAGGTCAGGGAGGTAAGGAGGTCAGGGATGTAAGGAGGTAGGGAGAAGGTTGGGGGTGGCGGGGCAAGGAGGTAGGGAGAAGAAGGAGGAGGGCCAGAGTAAACCCGGGATGCGTCAACGATGCAGCACTGCACCCTCCCATCCCAATTCCCCCCCCTCATGGGACCACACAGGTATTCTTTTCCACCGCGGGCATCACCCCCTTGAGTGACGAGCGCTTGGTGGAGCTGCCACTCGGGCGAGATCCAATTGTGTAAAGGATCCACCCTCCGTCCTTCCAGCCACAAGGATAGCAAAGAGGGAATTAGGATGACAAAGTTCGAGGAAGCCCTGCAAACCAATATTTCACTGTACCCAGAATCCCTTTGGTTTGGGCTTTCGAGTTTCGACGCACCCATCGAGACACCCATCGCCTGACTGTCTGGGCCAGTCCTTGCTGTGCCTATAGTCGTTGCACGAATAGCCAGACGTGACGTCACGCCTCGGGATGCCACAGGGTGGGGCAGCGGCGGTCATCGAGCAGGGTCGCGGGGGATGCTGGCACAGGCCCTCCCAGGGATGAGCTCGGTATGCGGCATGCCTCTGTGGGTAGTGCATGTTGTACGTTTGGGGTCATTGTGTTTTCGTGGGCACCGTGGAAGACCGCTCCATGACCCGTTCACTCCGAATTCGCGCTCGGGCCACGGGCCCACGAGCGCCGAGGGGCCACACATCTCACAGGGCGGCCCGCGCACGGGGCCAGGCAAGTGGCCGCCGTCCTCGGGAGGGCGCTGCAGCGAGCGGCATCTTCGCGGCTCGACGAGGATCATCCCCAGGCCGTACAGTCGGGGCCCTGAAGAAGGAACGCTTCTCGTTGGGGAGGGGCTCCGCGTTCCTTAAGTGTTTCACAGCTTGCCTCAGGTTGTCCTTATGATTTCGATCGGAAATCGAAGTTTAATTCTTTACGCTTCGCGTATCCCCACCAGCCCATCTCACAGCAGCAACTCTTGCGAAGCATGCCGACAGTCGTGTTTTTACCTAACAGCGAAGACTGATAGGTTTCTAGTTGACTCAAAAGAGCTCACAGATCACTCCACAGGGGGGTCCGGGCAGGTGTTGGGGCGTTTCCGGGCGGCATGAGCCGGGCTCGTTTTTCACCAACAGTCACACACTTCGTGCTCTTCGCCTTCCCAGAACTCCATTCCCAGGCCACATTCTGGGGGGCCGGATGCAACAGTCACACACAAAGTGCTCTTCGACATCCCAGAACGCCATTCCCGGGCCACATTCTGGGGGGCCGGATGCAACAGTCACACACTTCGTGCTCTTCGAGTTCCCAGAACGCCATTCCCGGGCCACATTTTGGATGCCCGGAGCCAACTGTAGGCCACTTCGTGCTCTTCTATTTCCCAGAACTCCATTCCCGGGCCACATTTTGAATGCCCGGAGCCAACTGTAGGCCACTTCGTGCTCTTCGAGTTCCCAGAACTCCATTCCCGGGCCACATTTTGAATGCCCGGAGCCAACTGTAGGCCACTTCGTGCTCTTCGAGTTCCCAGAACTCCATTCCCGGGCCACATTTTGAATGCCCGGAGCCAACTGTAGGCCACTTCGTGCTCTTCGAGTTCCCAAAACTCCCATTCCTGGGCTACCAGGAGGAGGAGGGGAGGGGGAGGACTACCAGGAGGAGGAGGAGGAGGAGGAGGAGGAGGAGGAGGAGGAGGAGGAAGAGGAGGAGGAGGACGAGGAGGAGGAGGAGGAGGAGGAGGAGGACATTGCCGGGCAACATTTTGAATAGCCAGACGCTTCATATTCCTTCCGCCACAGCTGTGTTTGGTTCAGGACTTGCTAGTGACACTGCAGTCCTCTGCATTCAATTGGCCACTACATTCATTCACTGCAGTCCACTGAGTTTTGATTGCAATGGCGTTCCCCTGGCCGTACCCCCATGTCCAACGTTCATCCGCAGCCTCTGCTCCGCGAGGCTCGTCCGAAGTGTCGCCGCCTCGCGGTGCTTCTCAGCCTGCGCCGCCTCGCGGTGCTTCTCAGCCTGCGGAGGAAGGTGGACAGACGCCTGGTTCTGGCGCTGTGCAGCCTGCGTCTTTCACGGTCGCCTCGTTCAATTTCGGGTTCGAGCAGGGCATGATGACTGGTAAGCAGGCGGCCACTCACTGCGCTAACTTCGGAAGGTTGTGCGCCAAGATAGTGGAGACCGCTGATGCTGATATGGTCTGTGGCTGCGAGGTCGGTGCGTTCCGTGAAGGCTTTCGCCGAGCAGGGATCAACGTGACAGACATCCTCAGTAAGCCTTTCGGTGATGGCATTCGCTTCTTGGAGGTCGACAACTACTTGACTCTCTGGGGGTTCCGCGGTGCTTCTCAGCCTGCGGAACTGACTCTGTGCGAAGACAGCAAAGTTTACAGGCCTCCTAGCGGCCGAGATATTGATGCTGTTATTTCACATTTTGAGGTGAACAAACCAGGCCATGACAAGTTCCACGTGGTGATCGCCAACATGCACATCGTGTGCGGCAAGAAACCGCCGAGCATCCAGACTCGAAAGCGGACAGTTCGCCATCTCCGCTTGCACCTGGACGGCCTGGCCAAGATTCTTGAGAATCTAAACGAGGCAGTCGTTGTGCTTGTAGTCGGCGACGACAACCTCACTTTCCAGGAGGCGCGGGAGGCTTACCAGCGCGAGCAGAACGACGAGAAGGTATGGGAGGTCCATGCCACTCCGGCCGACCTCAAAGGCGACCACGTCGCGGTCTGCGGAGCAGTCGCCCGTTTCTGCTCCATTGCCGTTGGCGCGTCTTTTACGGATCGTGGCATGCGCAACGACGCACACGATGCGGTGGCGGTTGTGCTCACTCTCCCTGGTGCTATTCAGCCTGGGGAGAGCAAGAGGCGGAAAATTGTCGTCGAAAACGTCTCCGACGCCGACGTCAGCGTACAGGCGGACCGCGAGTCTTCTGTGCATTGGGATCGGTCGCCGAGTTCTGCTCCTCCGCTTTCACCGACTTCACCGGGTGATCCCGACTACGTCGAGGATGTCGTTCAGAATCGCGCGGACGACTTGCACAGGGAGCTGAGGCAGCTTTGGGACGACAGGTACGACGAGGAGTACGATCCGAAAGTCCTCCATCATCTCAGTCTCTTGCTTTTCAAAAAGAGGAAGTCCACGGAGCCAGCGGACACTGATCCAGCTGGCGCTCCTCAGCCTGGCTCGGAATATGACACGGCCTTTGCGTCTCAGGAGGAGACTGGCCGAGCCATTCTCTCTGTCCTTAAGCTTCGACATGACTTTCTGCGGAGCAAGAACATCGACGACATGCGCTACGTTCTCACGGAGCCTGAGCGCCAGGAATTGGTCAGAGTAGCTCGCGACCAGTACGAGCAGTCGCGGCAGCAGCGTGCGCTTCAGGAACGGGATATCGAAAAGGGAAAAGCGAAAGGCAAGTCTGCGCCACAAGGGGGCCATGCGGTTCCGCAGGGTCCGAACAAAGGGCCAGGCGGTAAGAAAGGTTCTCACGGTGCTTCTCAGCCTGCGGGAAAAGGTGGCCAGGCCAAGGGTGCAGGTCTGGGTAGCGTCGCCAAGTTTGTGAAAGACCAGAAGCGTAAGCGGTGGCATCGCCATTTGCAACGTGTGGCCGGTACTAAACAGATCTGGGAGGTGCTGGCCTTCTCAGGGCGCTTCGACGTTGATTGGTTAGCGCAAGCGTTGCAAGCTGATCACAGTGAGGGCCGTGATGCAGCAGTTCCCGAGGAAGCTCTGCGGCAACAGCGGCGCCGGCTGCACCACCAGAAGGCCGAGGCCATCGCGCGCTACAACGAGGGGGAGCGGCTTTCCCTATATCTGTCTGCCCAGGCTGGCCAGGCAAAGCCGAACTTCACGCGCAGGCAGCAGGACGTGTTGCAGATGTTTGAGAGCGGAGCGCTGCTTCAAATCCGCAACCAAGCGATTCTGGCGTGCGGGCACGGCCGTCTGTTCAGGGGCGATGGCGACTACCTGGACATCGGCGGCAGCACGGGCGGTGGCTCCAGGCGCATCATCGATTCTTGGCAGCCGCCGGACTGGCGTGACTTCCTCCAAGACGATCAGGACATCTGAGTTTTGCAAGTCTCTCTGCCCGCGGTGCTTCTCAGCCTGCGGTCTGCCGCTCTCCAGCTGCGGTCTCGAGCAGTAGTGTTCGAAAGCATGCGAGTTCCTGCGGTGCTTCTCAGCCTGCAGGTTTCGCAGCCTGCGCTCTGCAGTACAAGTGCTTTTCAGCATGCGACATCCTGCGGTGCTTCTCAGCCTGCAGGGTTCGCAACGTGCGGTTTGCAATGCATTCCTTTTCAGTATGCGAGTTCCTGCGGTGTTTCTCAGGCTGCAGGGCTCCGAGGCTCTTCGCTTCGATGCCATTGTTTTCAGACACCGTAGCTCCGTTCCGTAAACGTCTTCCAAGAGCCGCTCGCAACCTTTTGCAGCTGGCTGTCTGCACGCTTCGCCGGCTTTTGCTGCGCGGACAACTTTTCACACACACGTCAGCGCCGTTTGTAGGCGTCAGAAAAACATGTAGACATTCACGAAGGGCTCAGTCTGTATATCGTCACATCATTACATACGCAGTCGTCGAACACATCGGTGTACATTCAGCGCTTTGTCCTTCTAGCTGGGTTGCTTCGTGCTGAGGCTGAGGCTGATGCAGGCTGAGGCTGAGGCAGGCTGAGGCTGAGGCCGAGGCTGACGGCAGACTGAGGCTGAGGCTGAAGCAGGCTGAGGCTGAGGCAGAGGCAGGCTGAGGCTGAGGCTGAAGCTGAGGCAGGCTGATGCTGAGGCAGGCTGAGGCTGAGGCAGGCTGATGAGGCTGAGGCTGAGGCCGAAGCTGAAGGCAGACTGATGCTGAGGATGAAGCAGGCTGAGGCTGAGGCTGAGGCAGGC